TAATTAGATATGGAAATGAAGAATGATGCTTAAGTTATATCAATCTATTGAATTTCCATATTTGATAGGGATTTCAAACTATTCAATAAGCAAACCGCCCCACCATTGTTGGTCTGCCAAATGTCCACCAAACCTCGCGAGAAATTGACTTGCTTAATGACCCACTCCATAGCAATTGACTTGCTTTCATGAACTAATTTAACATCAAAGGAACAAAAACTAGCTTCAATTAGTGGGTGTTACTTTTCCCCACCAAAGATTACTTGTTAAAATAAAGGGTTTAACCAAAGCCTAACAAGAAGACATATTATTGCACTAAAGCGTTATTTTTAGCTAGATACTAGTTATTAGTTGTGACCATGTACAGAGTAAAAAGAGACATAGTTGTGACTAGGGTGAGTGGGAGGAAAGATAGTGCGCTATTGGAATATGATAAGGAATGTGATTAGTAAAATAAAATTTGAAAAAAAAGGACCAAATTTGCCTAACTCATGGCTTGACCACGTGCTTTGGATTCCATTTGAGGCAAAACCATTAGTTATGTATAACTTGTTTGGCCTAATCTAGGGTGTATCAACCACCAAACTCAATATTACCTTTTTACATCAACTGGGAATAATCAAAATCAACTTTTGATTGCACATACCAAATGGAACACAACACGAGGGGGAAAGGAAAAAAGGTGGTAGAGCTTTGTCCTCGTTGCCATATCATGGGATGTTTTTCTTGTCAATGCAAACCCTTATGGGTTACTCATTTGATTTGGGCCCAACATATTTTTCATGCAAAACCTTGATTTTGGATCCATTAAAAAAAGGTCCGTTTAGTTTAGATTGTGAAATAGTTTTTTAAAAACATAATTGGCATTGAAAAATAATTTATATTTGTGAATAAAATTTTCAAAAGAACTCAAAATTACTATGTGTGCACTTGTGTATGATGTGTTGGCAAGTATTAAGCTAAAATAGTATAATAATGTGTTATCCTTAAAATGAAAAATGCGTACGCGCAGGCTTTAAGCTAGCCCAAAGGAAATCAAACCTCTATGGTATGAAGCAAACCCAAAAATAAAATATCCTCTTTTCGTTAACAAAAATATAATCTGTCTTGTTAGTGGTCTTTACTTAGCCCACAACAATGGGCTGCCTAGAATAAACCCAAAAGAAATTCCATGATAAAACAATCCTAAAAATAGGGTGATGTTATGAACATCTCCAGGGAGAGATCCAATAGCAAGTCAATTATTTCTTAAAATCTCTTATTACAAGTCTTGGTTTGTTAGGTAAGATAAAATTTAGAGTATTTGATTTACTCCTTTCATTGATTTTTATTTATCATTTAAAGTATTGACATATATCACAACTATTTTAAAAATATTTTTATTTTTTATGATACAAATAATATGTCCCCCAACTTTCTCTTTTGTGGTAATTAAATTTTCTTCTATTAATTTCTCTATTTTTTTTTCTGACGTGGTGTTTAGTTGTATTATCTTAAAATTAACAAAATTATAATTAAAAGAGGACTTCTTCACATTATAATACGATGACATTTTGTCAAATTATTAAAGAAATTTAATTATCATAACCACTGTTTGAAAATCTAACTCTTTTTAATAATGGGTTAACACCAATGAATAACAGTATAATAAAGTCCAAGTTACAGTGGATCAAATTTGCTTGTAAGTCAAGCCGAATCACGGTGGACCACCTTTTATTAGCTAGTATAAAATCATTGACCAAAAGGCAAGCTAATATATATAAACTAGTTCTTCTGCATGCTTAGCAAGAATAGAAGAAATGTTTGGGAGCAACAATTGTTAGTGACAAATATGGAGTTGAAGTTTGCTTGAACACTTCAAATTTAGTCATACAAAAATGTTGCCCCAAAATTATATTTGCCATCATAATATATATTTTTTCAACCAACACATGCGAGTGGTAATGGAAGGTGGATCAAAGTTGCCCAAACAGATGAAGTGTCGTAGTAATCTTGAGATGTATCTCTGTCATTTATGAACATATGGTAAAGAAAGAGAAATTGTTTTGTCCATATGAACGACAAGACAACACTCACAAATATATATTCCAATTAATTAGCAGTTGGTTGAATAGCCATTATCAAATAAATTACCATATCAAGCTATTGGTTCTCTGATTGCCACGTCCATCAACCAAACTTCACCTCAATTACAGGACAAGGAGTGCACGTTATCACCACCTTTTGAATTACCCTTTTGAATTTACAAAGGTGTTTCACTCTATAGCCAAGACTCAGAACCTGAATATAAAACTGAATGTGAATGTTGCTGGGCCTTCATTGTTGAAATGTTGATTCGTAATATTTGCAATTAAAGAGGTAAATAACACGTATGTTGATGGTATATCACAGTTCAAATTGTGGACAGATTTAAAACTATCTTTTTCCTTTTCTAATTTTTGCATGTTTATGGGTGGGTAGCTCTACAGATTTGAATAATCAACTCATTTAACCTACATATTATACAAACCAATTTGCATGTACCTATAATTAAATGAGTAATTTGATTTGATTTTCAAACCGATAATTTTACTAGCTTTGACACATGTTTACGTGTTGTTTTTGTATCTTAAAGCTTGTATAACTATTTATCAATGAGCGTAATTTTAATATGTTAGTAATATAAAAATATTTATACTGTCAGTGAATTAAAAATCATTATAAACATAAATTTTATCCTTTCAATACATATTCAAATTAATTATTTGTCAATACGCTAATTTTACTTTTTTTGAAACCAATAGCAATTATTGAAGCATCGTTTAAATTGCGTTGACTTGAATGAAGCAGATAACAAACAACTACTAAAATTGATTACAGGCAGAATGGGAGTGGGGCATCCTTGTTTTCGGGCACACTGAGCCTTTCTTCTTTCACACCAATGACTCTTGGAGTTTAAATTTCTAGATTTTTACAACGTCAGCATTGTTAGTGTTCTTGTTTAGTTGAAATTAAATTTTTACTTTAATAATTTGTACAATAAAATAACATTAAATATAACTGTTAATATCAGTACATATCATTAAAATTTTAATTTTAATCAGAAAAAATATTGTACTTAAGTTTTGTTTTTATGTATATTATTATTATTACATTTAATATTAAATACAAATAAATAAATAATGCTCATTACAAAAATTATTTTATTTCCTAATACATCCTTCGTGATATTTATTGTATATATAGAAAGTAGATCAGTCGAGATCAATCAAATATATATATATGTTACAAGTTTGAATTTGACTCGCCTAAAAAAGTGAATTTAATTTAAAATTTAATATTATTTATTTTATTAAATAAAAAGTTAGTCAAACATTTAACAAAATAAACTCAAACAGTTTATCAGCAAATCAATTCATTTACACTCTTGATTATATACAAAATAATAATTTATTTTTATTCATATTAAATGACATTTGTTTATGATTTAAGTTTTTATGCTTAGATATTAATGTCAACTATAAAAAATAATTCATGTGAAAAAGACTAAAAATTTAAGAATTATTTTGAGTAAAATTCTCTCTTTATATTTTGAGAGTTGTATAAAATTATTGATGTCATATTTTAAAAATTAAAAAATTATTAAAAATAAAATTGAAACAAACTTGGTTACATACTATCATGTCATCCTAATCACTTATTAGGTGATTGGAATGTAGAAAAGACTGGACAGCTTTAGCAAAAGACATTCTCATTTTTTATCCTTTTTGTAGTACACAAAGAGTTTTATTCTACATGGCTAGCTCCTATTATGTCTAACTATAAAGGGCTAAGATATACCCTTGTATTGCATTCAGCCTTCACACCTTCCTATGTCCTTTTTGTTTTGGAAATGCCAACTAATCAAGGAGTAACATTTGCCAAAACATTAAATTATGTGCATTAAATAATCTGCCAAAACATGAGTTAGTTTCCAATGTTTTTCCTTTTAAAACCATAGTACTCCAATTCATAAAGGCAATTAAGTTAAGTAGCAAACCACTTAATGACATGAAGTGCCTTTTTAATCCTAATACAAATTTGTATGAATTTATTTGTTAATTAAGATAGAATACAAATGAAAAAGATAAAAGAATAAAACAAAAGATGAAACGATGATAGGACAAGCATGAAGAAAGAAAAATATCTACATGTTATTTTCTTTTTTTCTCAATTTCCCTCCCTTCTAAGATAAGAGTTGAAACGATTACTAATGTATACTAAATTTATCATATTTTATTAACTCACTACATAAAAAATTAATTTCGGGTGTGAATATTCTTCTTTTTTTTTAAAAAAATTCTCATCAAATGAGTCATGGGCATTTTTTTAAATTGTTGTCTTAATAAACTACAAATGTCATCAACACAAAAAATAATTTTTTCCAAACACGTATAATACAATGGGATTATCTCCAAGTAAAAAAAATTCTTATATACAAAACTCAAAACTAAAACCTAAGTTAAGAAGAATTCAGCATATACCTTATTTAAGTGCATGTCATTCAAGAACGAATGATATGTTTCAAAAATTTAATACATTTTTTCTCAATAAAAAAATATAACTTTGTTATTTTTTTAAAACTAAGTGCTTATGATTAATATTTACATGTTAATACATTAAAGTAATTAATTTTACATAATCTTTTATATTTTGATTTTTTTAATCAGTGGCTTAAAATCTATGTTGGCAGATCCTGTTAAATAATTTTTTTCTATAAATTTAAAAAACATATAAAAATATGATTAATACAATTCTACAATGATGTATAATATAACTTGAGTATGCCTACTCTATTTAAAGTCACTAATGACAATGAAAACCAGTGAACCTGGGGCAGTTGAAGTATTTTATTAAAATGTATGATAATGTTGGTGGTAAATGTATGTTTAAGTAACCCATTCTAGAACCCATGTCTAATATTTTAGCTATATGTTCGGCTTATAAATATGCTATGAGGTCTTTCAGATCATAAGTCTCTCTGGTCTCACTATAGTTCCTATAATAATAATTACAACAACAAATTTTCCTCTGAATCACCAAGCTCTGCAACTTTGCTTTCCCAGCATGGAGTATCCTCTCCTACCCATTTTTGCTTTACTCAACGTGAGCTTCGTCTTCCAAACTACAGAAGCATGCTTATAACTTGAAATTCTGCTTTATTTTTTCTTGACTTGGTTTGCAGCTTGCTATGGTGGCAACCCATGCTGCCTTACCTCCAGAGATTTACTGGAAGTCCGTGCTTCCCAATACGCCTATGCCAAAAGCCATCACCGATTTTCTTCGTTCTGGTGTGTACCTTAAAAAAGGAATAAACTACTTTTCAAATTATATTATTTGTGCATTTGATATTATATTTTATATTTTTTTGTTAGTCACTGGTTTTGTTCGAATTTAAAATTAATAAAATTAAATTAAAATACAGATAATAATTCAAAGTTAACAGTTCACAATTCATTATGCACTTTATACGTATACACGTAGCAAGTTAATTTAAAATATGCGATTTTGAGTCCTATCACACAAATAATATAAATTTAATATAATTATTTATAAGATTATGGGAAAATACTGCTTTTGTTTAAGAAGAATTATATAATTAACTTGGTGCATAAATATTAAATAAACACACATTTGATTAACTAGTCTTTACTTGGATTAAAAGTCTTGTTAATCATCGTCATCTCACTTCTAAAATCTAAAAGTGAAAGATTTAAAGAAATTATTATTTTTTAAATTATTTAAACAAAAATATCTTTAACTTGACAAGTATATTTAATTGTAGTAATTATATTTTGTTTTTTTTTATCTTATTTTCTGTTCTATTCTTATTAATTGAATAAAATATTTTTTTCTTTCATTCAAATATTTTCTTTTCCTTTTCCTTCATCAAAATTCCTCCATCCTCGTACCTTCATTTGAATCAAATATTCAAAGTATATAAGAGATTTATTTATGCCTTTTAAATCAGCATTTCTATCTTACATGTTTGCAATTTTACCGAGTAAAATATTTTTTAAGGAATCAGATTGAAAAGGAGCTATAATATTTATATAATATTTTTACGATAACTTCTATTTTACCTTTTTATGTTTTATATTCTATTAATTTTTTATTATTTTTAATAAATTGTATTAAATTATTGTCTAACTATTATTTAAAAAAAAATAAAAGTTAGCATTTTTAGCTCTTTACAAAGAAAAATTATTATTTAACGTTTTTCTCAGTGTCTATACTTTGTTCAAGAATAAAGAAATAGAAATAAATAATAATATACTGGGGAAGAGATTAAAAGAACGATATAATATAAAAAATATATGAAAAAGATTTATAGGAATTTTTTAAATCTTTTTATAAGTGATGTTGTAAATTTATTTGAAGCTATAGACATCTCGTTTTGTGAAAATTCCCAACATTTAAGAGTTAGTTGAATAGATGTAATGGGATAAATTTGAGTAAATATTTATTTTAATTTTTAAATAAAAACGACTTATTTAGTAACCAAAAAGTCGTTTGAAAATTTCAAACTATAATAAGAGAATAAATACAATTTTTTGAAAACTCAAAAACTTAATTAGTCCAATATTTGATAATATAAAAAATTATATTTACTTCAATACTACTAATATATTTTTTAACTATATTAAATTTATGTTTGTAAGGATCTAAACGCACACATTAATTTTAAAAAGTGTATATAATCCTATGGTAGCTCGAATTACATGGAACATAATTAAATTTGAAAAAAAAATGTTAATAATACTCTTTTTTTTAATATATTCTATATTACTAACTAAAATTATAAAAAAATAATAATAAAATAAGGTAGATGCCACTCTGAATTCAATGGAGCTTAAAATATTCGTAGTTTCTAGTAAACTTGAATAAAGTGCATTATGTTATTATCATTCCTCTTAAATTTGTGCAGATTGGGTGGAAGAGAAAAGCACCACAGTGAATGATGATGCAGGGAAAGGTAATCCCGGAGGCACCACAGTGAATGTTGGAAAGGGAGGCGTAAACGTGAACACAGGAAAAGGAGGTAGTGGAACCAATGTCATTGTTGGTGGAAAAGGTGGAGGAGTTTCAGTGCATGCAGGCCACAAGGGTAAGCCTAAGCCTGTAAAAGTTGATGTTCCGCCATTTTTGTACAGTTATGCTGCCACTAAGACCCAATTACACGATAACCCCAATGTGGCACTCTTCTTCTTGGAAAAGGACTTGCACCCCGGAACAAAATTTGACTTGCACTTCACCAAAACCTCAAATCAAGCCACGTTCTTGCCCCGCCAAGTCTCCGATTCAATACCCTTTTCATCTAACAAGGTGGAAGATATATTTAACAAGCTCTCTGTTAAACCTGACTCAGAAGAGGCTAAAACCATGAAGAATACTATTAATGAGTGTGAAGAGAATGGCATTAAAGGTGAAGAAAAGTACTGTGCAACTTCACTTGAGTCTATGGTTGATTTTAGCACTTCAAAGCTTGGAAACAATGTTGAGGTTGTGTCCACGGAAGTTGATAAAGAAACGGGGTTGCAAAAATACGCTGTAACACAAGGAGTGAAGAAGTTTGGAGGGGACAAGGTGGTTGTGTGTCATAAGCAAAATTACCCATATGCTGTGTTTTATTGTCACAAAACAGTGACTACTAGAGCTTACTCTGTGCCTTTGGAGGGTGCTGAAGGTATCAGAGTTAAAGCAGTAGCAGTGTGCCACACTGATACATCTGAATGGAATCCCAAGCATTTGGCTTTTCAAGTGCTCAAAGTTAAGCCAGGAACTGTTCCGGTTTGTCACTTCCTTCCTGAGGATCACGTTGTTTGGGTTCCCAAGTAGATTTATGGTACTGTCATGTCCTTGAATAACCTGTTTTAGTAGCATCAGCTACAGAACTTCCCCATATAGTTGCACTACAGAGCTCTAGAAACTATTGGGTTGTTTATTTAGACGCTTCACGGGGCTTCTCTATGTATATTTTCCCATCATGCAGTGTGTATGTTGTGGATACTTACAATATGTTATATGATATAGATCGTATAATTGTGTGGCTTCCTCCCATTCTCTTATTTAGATGAAGTGATATGAAACTCACTTTGTCTTTAGATTTACGATTATATTTGCGTTCGGTGTAACTCCTTTTCTTACGAGGAATTAGAATTTCAATGACTGTTACCTTCTTATTACTCTAGCTTCCTTCTTTTTATAAAACATTTGTTTTTGGCATAGAAAAACATTTAGATTCGATTTTTAGAAATTTAAGAGTAAATTAATATTTGAATATAAAATATAGGTTCAAAACAAACTTGAGTTTCAATTTCTGTGGCTTGAATAAAGAAATTAATTTTATTAACCTCAACTGTTACTTTTCTTTTTATGTTATTAAGAATAATATTTTTTACCAAATAAAAATTATTATATTAAAAATATAAAATAAAATAATCGTTTTTAAAAATTATTACTATTAGTTGATTAAATTTAGCTTTAGTTTGTTAAAAAAAAAATTAGACATCGGTTAACATTTAATAAAAACTTTTTCCCTCCTCAATTTATTAATAACGAGTATTATGTTTTTTAAAATATAAATAATTATTATAACTTATTTAAATTTAATAACTATTCTCATTTAATCTGACTCAATATAATTTAAATGATTATTATGATTCTAATAAATTTGAATAAATATTTATTTATTTATACTAAAAAAAGGAGCTAAAAGCTCATTAAAGAAACACTAGGGCCTAACAGCCTAGAATTCAGAGGCATCCAAACAAAGGAAAGGCAATAAAGGAGAGGGGATTGATCTAACCAAATACAAGGACTACAACATTTAACTCCAAATTTTGGAAGTAAATCCGCACATTAATTGGCTTCTCTATAAACAAAGTTAAATCTAACAATAGAAATTTGTTTTAGTAAGAATCTAATATCAGATATTAGAAAAAACAAAGGATGTGACTTAAACGGAACATTCAAAATAAGTTGGAGAGCATCTTTAAAATCTTCTTCAAACCAAATGCACTAAATCTCCTTCTTAATGATTAGGGTAACCCCCAAAAAATAGCCCACAATTCAACAACTAAAAGAGTACAAGGGAAATTGTTGCCATGAAATCCAGTTATAAAGGACCCTTTTTCATCACGAATTAGCCCTCCAAAGCTAGCCATCCCTTTATCTGCATAAACTAATCCATCTACATTAATCTTCAGGTGACCATGACTAAGAGGAATCCATTTTACTCTTCCTTGCTGCAACACAGAACCAAAACCAGAGTTAGTGTTGTGATTATACCAGTAGTTGAAATAATTAAACTTTCAAATAATTCTATGCACTAACTAATTAGGAGGAACAGAGAAATTCTAAAAAATAAAAGAGTTTCTATCCTTCCAAATATGTCAAGTTACAAAGCTAAAAAGCCGATTCCAGTCAAGAAAATTATTATGATATCTATTAGATAAATTGCTACTTACCCATTGATCAAAACTGCAACTAAAGAAACTAGCCCAGTTATCAGAAAAGATAAAATGACTCCAAACCTGTCTAGCATGAAAACAGTCCCGAAGAACATGAGCAATAGACTCAGGAGCCTCACCACACCTAGAACAATCAGGAGAATCAGCCATATTCCTATCAAATCTCTCCAAATTTGTCAACAATTTATCATGCCCTATTTTCCACATAAATAGGTTGATTTTCGGAGGCCCTTTCCACTTCCAAATCAAATCAAATCAAACATCTTAATACAAGGAATATTACTTACCAGGGGCTCCAACAGTAGGGAATAAGCAGATTTAAGAGAGAAATTTCTATTACTATTTAAATTTTAAAAGAATAAATCATGACCCCAAAATCTAGAAGGAGGGTTCATCTCACTAATTAAAAGATTTATAGGATTAGGGAGATAGTCTTTGAATTTATCCCACTGCCAAACACCTTGGGACGAGAAAAGAGCAGCAAGGAGTACTTAAATCTGCTTTTGGAACAGGCGATATAGACACCTCAGCTAGAGATTGGTGATTGGGAAGCCAGATATCAGTCCATAATTTAATGGTAGATCTATCCCTAAGATTCCATCCCAGCCCCTTTCAAAAAATAGGCTAGATAGAGGCTAGCCCTCTCTATAGATGGGACGCCTTATGTGGAGAACTAATATAAGGGGTATGCCCCAGAACAAACCGATATTTACTCCTTATGACCTGGGTCCAAAGGTCATTAGGAGAGTTAATTAGCCTCCAGCAGAGTTTTAACAAGTAAGCTTTATTAAGGAGTCTAATATCCTTAAAGCCTAGAACACCAAGATTCTTAGGTTTACAAATCTTCTTCCAACTAATAAAATGACAACTTTTTTTACCTAGAGATCCCAAATGAAATTCTTGCAAATACTATTAATTTTTTCATAGATTGAAACAGAGAGAACCAAGGCTTACATTATATAGTTAGAGACACTCATTATACAGGACTGGGTCAAGGAGACCCGACCTGCCATAGATAGAGAATTTACTTTCTAGTAAGTAAGTTTTTTCCTGATATTATCAATGAGATGGGAGAAGTCTATCCTATTAGGTTTATGATGACTGACAGGGATTCCAAGATAAATCCCAAACTGAGTCTGAGTTTTAATTTTCAGTTTATCACAAATAGCATTAGAGAGAACAGGATCTGTATTTTTAGAGAAAAAGATAGAGGATTTATTAAAGTCAACACTGAGTCCAGAAGCTGAGCCAAAGGAACGTAGGACTTGTTGAATGATTTCAGCCTGTTGGAGGTCTGCTTTAACAATAAGGATGATATAATCAGCAAAGAAACGATGAGATAATCTAGGACCTATTCCACTAAAAGAAAACGGATTCCAGTCTCTATTATTGACTTTATCTTGAATCAAGTGGGCCAGCCTTTCAAGACATAAAACAAAAAGGTAGGGAGAAAGAGGATCTCCCTGCCTGATCCCTCTAGAAGGCCTAAAAGATTTAGTATGTTTGTTATTCCCGTTCAAGTACATAGAAGAAGATGAAATACATTCATAAATGAGATTAGACAGAGAAGTATCAAGACTAACCTTAATGAGAGTATCCAGAATGAAATTCCACATAATCTTATCATATGTTTTCTCTTAATCCAATTTCAATATCATAAAACCAGAGTTGCATTCAAGTTTATTAAAAGAGTGAAGAAATTCTTGAAGGATAAGAGAATTGTCAATCTCTTGTCTCCTCAGAACAAAACTAGTTTGATTTTCAGAAATTAACAAAGGCATAAAATCTCTTAATTTGTTAGCTATGATTTTAGGAATGATTTTATAACTAACATTACAAAGAGAAATTGGTCTAAAATTAGAGACATATTCAGGGCAATCAGTTTTAGGGATAAGAGTTATATCTGTATTATTAACATCAACTATATGATGAGGGTTATTAAAAATATCCATGACAAAGTCAAAAATAAAAGGAGCAAGATGGTGCCAATGATTTTTAAAAAATAATGCATGTAGACCATCAGGCCCAGGAGATTTAAAATTTTCTATGCTAAATAATGCAGTTTTAATCTCTTGAATAGAAACAGAAGCTTGAAATCTAATCCTATCCATATCCCTGAGAGGGGAAAAAGAGAATGTACTATCAAGATGAAAACCAAAGGGGTTAAGGTCATGATACAGGTTCTGAAAATATTGGATTACCAAGATTTCAAGCTAGAGAGGATTATATTCCTACCTATTATCGTTATCTTTTAGGGCTTCTATAATATTTTTGTATCTATAAATCTGAGCAACTCTGTGAAAAAACTTAGTATTTCTGTCCCCAAAGTTGAGCCAGCTAACTTTATGGTGATGAAACTAGTAACATTCCTCTTGGTCAAGGATTAAACAATACTCCTGCCATAAGGAAACCATTAGGTTGGAAAGATAAGGATTATTCCTAGCAACCAGTTGTCAAGAAATACCTTTTAGGCGACTGAAAATACGACTTTTTCTTTTTAAAATGTTACCAAAAATATTTTGATTCCAATCAGAAATGTTATCCCTAAATCTAAGAACATTCTCCACAAGGAACTGGATCTAATCCAAGCCTTCTTGACCTGATAGGGAAAGTCACTATGTGACAGCCAAGGGGCTAAAAACTTAAAGGTTTTGTTATTTTTTACAGGGGCATTCCTACCCCTAATTTTCAACCATAGACCCACATGGTCAGATTTGGGAATAGGAATATGGATGACAGAGCTATTATAAAATAAGGTACGCCAAGCATCATTAGCCACAACCCTATCTAATCTTTCTTTTAATTGACCTATCTGCCAAGTGAAAGGGATTTCTTTGAAACCTATATCTTGCAGCCCACAATAATCAAGACAATTAGCTAGATTTCTAATTAAGTTAGGATTTGCAGGTCGTCCCCCTACCTTTTCCCTCTCATATAAAACAGAATTAAAATTACTAGCCAAACACCAAGAGGATTAGATATTTACATTAAATTCCATAAGATCCTTCTAACAATCAAAGCGCAAGTTCTCATGGGGGCTAGCATATATAGAGGAAAGAACCCACTCCTCATATCCATAAAACTTAACTGTTAAGTGGATGGTTGACTTAGTTTTGTGAAGAATATTTATATTAACCTTTATAGGATTCCAAATGCGCCAAATTCTCCCAAAAAATCCAATAGCCTCAATCCTTTCAGAGACATCCAAACTAAGTTTATTAATAATTTTATCAGCTTTAGTTTTACTAACTCTAAGTTCAAAAAGAGCTAAGAAATCCAAATGATGAATAGAGATCAAGTTATTAACAAGTATGGAGAAAGAGTTTCCTCTAGCTCCTCTACAATTTAAAAAAAACAGTTCATGAAAAAGGAATAAAGGTTTAGATAACATCTGAAAGATGCTGAGAACTAGAAACACACTCCATTGGCTTAAGGCCATCATTCCTATCCAATTCCTGTTCCTGAACAATGTTTAGGCTATTCTGTTTATTAGGATCTGAAGGCTTCTCCTTATGGGTCATGCTATCCATTTGTGGCCAAATGGTCCTTAGGATTTATACCCAAAATATCTTGTAATGATTTACTTCCATTTGATTTCTGAATCAAGTCGTGTTGGATTTGATTCATTAAGTAAAATATTTCTTTATCCTCATGATTATTAGTATTGATCTTACCATATGCACAATCCATCCTAATCTTAGGCTGAGTGGGATTCACCTTATTCTTATATGGTTTTTCATGTTTTGAAGTTATTCTAGTTCTATTTATCTTCTTAGGATGGCTACTAGCTTTAATGTATTCTTATTATTATATCTATTATGAGAGAGAGTGCTATTAGAAGATTCAGGTACAATGTCCATCTTAGTGTTCTGGATACTAGACTTTGTTGGGCTAATATAATTTTCTAGTCCTAGTTGGGATTCCTTATTACCTAAGACATCAAAACATGATCCTGAACTATGTTCATTACCTGTATCCATATAATTGAAAGGGCCATTTGTCCTAGATTGTCCTGTTTTCTTTTTCATGGGCTTCTTAGCCAGCATCCATGGTCCATAAGTACCCTTGCTTTCCCTTTCATTCCCTGTTACGTGATCCTCACTCTTATCCTCACTGTTACTAGGATGGGGGGGGGGTGGGGGGGGAGAGAGAGGACATCATTTTCTTCCATTGAGGCAGTGGGGATTCTATAAAAATGACTAATATCCATGCATTGCTCTTGCCTATGGCCATACTTTCCACAAGAGAAGCAAATAAGGTGCAGGCCCTCATCTTTCACCTTAAACTCTTGACCTAGTACCATAAAGGAAGGGATAAGTTTTCTCCTTAAGTCTAATTCTACACGTATCCTAGCAAATCTACCCCTCGAGAGCAGTGAAGTATGGGAATCTATCTTGAACATAGATCCCAGGCAAGCTCCCACCTACCATAGAAATTTATCATTATATAATTCCAAGGGGAGATCAGGGATCCTCATCCAAGCATCAATTTTCCTCAGCTCTTGGTCTTTTGGTCTAAACAAAGGCCTCCATCGTTGGACCAACAAATAGTGGTCAAGAATAAGCCAGGGTCCATTAAACAAAGATAATTTATAATCTTCATTATTATCAAATTTAACAAGAAAATAGTCGTTATTTAGATCCAAGATTTTTAAAGATCTACTTTTTCCCCATATGTTTGTTAACTTTTGATTCAGATAGTTGAAGTTCACTAATCTACCTAACAGTTTAACAATTAAAGTCTGCTTCCACGAGGAACACTACAACTCATAATCATTTAGAGGAACCCTAATATCAGGGCAAATGCCTTGAGAATCATTAAAATTTATTTCTTGATCTTCATTTTCAAATAGAGGAATATTAAGTTCTTCCATGACAGTTCTTACAATTTCCTCATCACCAACAGACATATTAAAATCCCTAGATTCTAGCACTTTATCTTTGTACGAAATAAGTAAGATAGGTTTTGGGAAGAAAACACCTTTTTCGTAGGATCCTCCGAACCCTTCTTTGCATGTCTAATAGCTTTGCCCTCCTCAGACGTTCTCATGGTCCCAATCTTGACTTTTTTCTTGCTGCGATCTACCAGATCTTGCTCCTTGCTGGATCGTTTCTCCGCTTTCGAGTGCTTTATCCTGTCTTCATACTTGAAACAAGGGACTTCTCGAAAGAGAAGCCTATCACTGTGATTTGATCGAAGAATCTTGCATCTATTGTCACCCATCAAGCCAAGGCCTGAGGGTGGTGAAACCCTAGCAAAGCTGAGCGGCGCTTTTTTCCAAGAAACTATCTTGATAGCAAAATCTTGCATTGAAGTGCTTTTATTTTTTTTAGATACTAAATAAATATTTTTTTAAATTAATAGTTATAATTCCTTTAATATTTTATAAATTAAAAAATATTAATAATTTTTTCAATTAAATCATTAATTTCATTATTTATTAGTATAAAATTAACAGTAATAACTATTTTATATAAATTATATATAAAAGTGAATATAAAATTCTCTTAATTATTAAAGATACAATAATTTTATTTATAATTTACAAATTAAAATTAATCAATTTTTTTTAAGCTCTTATTCTATGTATTAGAGGTTACCCAATGCTCTATATTTCTAGAGATATAGGAGATTTTATTTTATTTTATTTTTTTAAACTCAAGTTGCATTAATCTGCTGGATGAAACGGGTCGGGCTAAGCCCCGAACTGATAACCGTGAACAAATTTAAACAAATTCGCAAAAACGGCTTCACTAAATTGAAGGGATATATATTTTTAACAGAGATAATATATTTAAGAAAAAACTCCATACAAAGCAGGAGATACCCGTTGCATTCTTCTCCACGAATCTTTTTAGGGTTTTGCATAGTCTGCCATTCTTGCGTTTCCCGTCGTTCATCGTCACCGGCTAGGCGACTGCCCATAGGAGCTGCTGTCAAATGCCACATGCGATGACCCTACAATATTGCAAATCCTTCACACTCTCGTTTCGGCTACTCTCACAGTAGAAATTTATTGTAAGTTTCTTGCATACGACACGGTACCGTATTCTCTTCATTGGTTACATGACATTGATGCTGTATCTCGAAATTCAACTTTTATCGGTTCTTGATCCTTCTTATCAGTGTTTCTTTGTTTACTTTTCAGACGAAGAAGCTTGATATATCAAACAATGGTAGAAGCAGGGGAGGGGGATGTTCTTGAATTCAAGTGGGGGAAAAAGAGAGGAATCGGTGGTAAAAAAAAGGATGTGCGTTTTTACGAATCATTTACCTACGATGATGTGGATTACACTCTTTTTGACTCTGTGTTTCTTCACATGGATGGTGAACCCGAGCCTTTTATCGGTAAAATCATCAAAATATGGGAAAATGCTGATAAGAGCAAGAAAGTTAAGATTCTGTGGTATTTTCGTCCGTGTGAGATTCGTAACTTCTTGGAAGGAATCGAGACACTTGACAATGAGTTGTTTTTGGCATGTGGTGAAGGCGTAGGCCTTGCAAACGTTAACCCTCTGGTAATGGATTTTCTTTGTTAGTGCTCTTAATTAACTACTGTTCTCGGTGTAAGGTTTTATAGAACTAGGGTTGTACTTTGTTCTTCTGATGTTTGAAAATTGCACTGTTAAAGACTAGAAAATTTGTATTCTCTCCATTGCTTGTTTTATCGGAATATGGGTTTGACATTGAATTGAACTACTGACCTTATTCTCTATTATTTGGGCATGAATAGCATCGTTCTAGTTCATTGTTTTTTAAACATGATGCGTCAGTTGGTAATGTGAACTTTAAATCGTTTCGTTTTGAACTTTAACGCTGTGAGTGGATATCGAATGGTGATTGGAATGGAATGAAATGTGACGGAGCAGAATGAAGGTTGACCGTTTAATTGTTTGGATGTATTTATTATGAAACAGGAGAAGAAGGCTAGTAATATCCCAATACCCTTGGAAGAACAAGAGGGGTATTGATGGAATGGAATTAAATACATTCCATCCTATTTTATATAATCTAACATGGGCTATTTGTCCTCTCACTGAAGTATTGGAGTTGTAGTTAGAAATAGAATTGTATTTAATGATAAGAAGGCATGGTACTTCATTCTGATTTATTTGTTTTATTTGGGGCGGGGGTGTCAAAGTGATAATTCTTAATCACCTTATTATGTTTGTGTTTTACTTTCTATTTAGGGGTAGCATGTATGTGTGTTTCATAAATCTTTGATGTTATAATATATTTTGAATTTGAATTAGTGTTTCCTTTCACTGGTGAAACTACAGCATGCATTATTTCTTGGTCTGGAGATGACTGGCAGCACCTAATCAACTGGCTATGTTTTATTTCATTTTGTATGTGACATCAGGAAGCTATTGCTGGCAAATGCAATGTCGTTTCCATTTCTAAGGACAGTAGGAATCCACAACCATCAGATAAAGCCATTCAAATGGCTGACTTTGTATTCTATCGTTTCTTTGATGTTGGGAAGTGTCAAATATTGGATAAGATAGGTGATACTATTGCTGGAATTGAAGGTATGTCATCTTATTTCATTGAAGACCATTATCTAAAATTCCTGAGTTGCAAGATGGAATTACACTTACACCTGCAGTATTTAGGGGTATCACATAAGCTAACGCACTCATTCATGCTGTCAGAAATCAGCAAAATATTTATACAAATCAGCAAAATATTTATACACATTTTTTGTTCCTATATGAAAAAATTTTGTAGATCTGTTCCTATGCAAAAAATCATTTTTGCTTTGGTCTCTCTTGCCAATGGGTGTTATAACACTGTCAACTAGACCCTTATGTGTCAAACAAAATTCCAATGCAGCTCAAAGGTCCCCTATACGTAAAGAACACAATTTGGGAATGTATGGCAATCCCATGAGTGATATGATTACCTTCAACTTCTCTTTTCCTCTTACCTGCTCTGTTTGTTCAAACACATCAAAAAGGATGTTTAAAGTAAACCATATTTGGGGAACCATCATGCACCTTGATTCGTCAAAATTTTTCATAATTTTTGGTAACTGCTAACTTTCCTCTGTTACCATATTAGGCTCGCATCTTGCTACTCTCATTTCTTCAAAACCTCCATGGTAAGCTCTTCCTTTTGGACCTTTTCAACTTTCAACATAAGATTAGTGCACATAAACATGTTGGCTGAATCCTTTTCTCCACCATTTCGGTTTTAAGTTCCAAAGCTTCCTCCAATAAACCACTAGCGTAAGCCAATATCGATGAATTGTAATTTGTAATTTACAATGGTCTAATTATTAGGGTAATACAATCTTCTAATAAATTATCTCAAACAAATCAAAATGTGTTATCCATAAGGGGTGTGAGAGTGCATTATGATAAAAATACCTATCTCCTTTCCTTGCACAAAAGGGGAATGCAATCCTCTCTACTTCGAAACTAATAGAACATGACCAAGGCCAGGTTGCATTTGTTGTTAGGCCATAAACCCTTGATTATCTCCAAAATTTTTTAAGATGGAGAAGTTGGGCGTTGTTGATTGAAAATGAATGCAAAATATCATGGAGGTGAATGAAATTGGAAAGAGTATGATTTATGAAATGGAGGATTTGTTGACCTTGAGGGGAGTGGTGAAGAGAAGACTATGTAATTTACTAACTGAGGGAGAATGTGAGGAAATGACCATGAATTTTTGACCTTGAGAAGGAAGGTGAGAAGACCAGGAAATTTGGTGATTTTTTACCACGTTGGAATTTAGTTTAGTCTGGTTGACAGTGTTATAACACTTATTGATGTCAAGGACCCAAACAAAATGATTTTTTTCCTTAGTGGAAAATCTTCAAACTTTTTTCATTTAGTAATCAAATTAAAAATTGGTGTTTGTGTAGGCACTTAAAATGTATTTAAACCTTAGTAAAATTATAGTTTTGTTGGTAAATAGAGAAAATAAAAGATTTCCTTGTGATTTAGGCTATGTTTGGTAAAATGAATTAAAAGTTGTGAACTTGTAGCTTTTAGCTGCGAACTTGTAGGTGAAAGCTTATAGTTGTATAAATAGCTTATAAAATTAAATTGTTTGGCAAACTAGTTGTGCAATTGATGAATTTATGTTAAATGAATCAAAACGACCCATAATATTATATTAAAATTACATAATTTACTTTAACTCATTTTATTAATTAAAATGATATTATTAATTCAAACAATAAGCTTAATTTATTTTTAAAATGATTAATTTAACAAGTTATATCAATAAAGATTACATGAATTGATTTAAATAATTTATTTCTTAATTTAGAAACTATTTTTTATTTACTTACTTTTTTTACATAACAAAATACTATTAGTTATTAATAATAAAAAGATGAAAAAAATGAAGAAAAGAAAAAGGAAGGGGAATAACAAAATTTTAATAAGATAAAATGTACTAGAGTTTTAATTTTGTGAAGGATAAGTTGTCTTTTTAAAATAAAATGAAGGGTAAAAATTTGATTGAAATATTAATAGCTAGTTTTTGAAAAGTTAGTTTTCACAAGCTAGTAGCTACAAGCTCCTCATTTTGTATTTACTAAAATTTAATAAGCTATAAGCTCCTAAATAAACTACAAGGTATTTTTACCAAAATAGCTTTAGTCACGTGTGTCTTTTTTACAATTGAAACTGAAGTAGTAATATTTGAATGTTCAATGTAATTAATTAGAGGAAATTTGGAGAAATCTTCAATCTTTTTTCATATTCCCCTTGAATATTTCTTGTTTAATACTTTAATGTGAAATTTTCATCACACAAGTGTTTTCCCTTGTGTGAAAATTGAATCTTCAAATTATTTTGAATGTTTTTTTTGTTACTATAGTAAAAATTTTGTTGGGGAATTCATTCACCCTAAATAGATGGAATGGAATATGTGTAATTCTACCTAGTTTTAATTTTTTGAATATTTTGTGAAATTATTTCTCTAATTGTTGCAGTTAAAAATATTTTTAACAACTTAGATAGTCAAAAGCTTGTTGGTCTTGTGAAACATGGTTTAGACATGACAAAAGTAAGTGGGAACCACGCAAGTGATGATGCAGAAACAATGGCTCTTTTAAGTGAAGAAAAGAGTCGGCATTTGATTGAAAAACCAAATGGCAATTGTATTCTGTTTGACACATTAGTTAGAGAGAATGATGATTCTAAGTCATTGTTGGGAAAAAAACCTACCTCTAGTGTTGGTTTAAAGGAAGCAAGAAAATTGAAGAATTCGCTGCACACTATGTCCAACGACAAGACCATGCCTCAAGATACAGTCAAAGCAAATGGGGCTTGTAAAGCTTCTTTGGTTAAACCAAAATCATCTACTAAATTAACACATGGTTCTAGAGCTAGTTTGGAAATGAGGGAAATGGCTAAAATGGATGATCAATGTAGAAATGTTGCTATCGACAAGAACATTTTGAGGTCTCGAGCTGATTCGCAAAAAGATGATCACAAGGATGTTGATATCCCTATTAGAAAAATGAACGAGGGACTAATGGAGGACAAGGCTTTTGAGAACGAAAAAAGTGGTGGTTCTTGTAAGGTTTCTAGTACAAAGAAGAATAATGTGAAAAATCGAAGGCTTGTTACCTATGACGATGACGATAACGATGATGTGGAAAGTATAGCTCCATCTTCATCAAAGGATAGATGTAAACGAGCAAAGGATTCTTGTGATGTCGAGGAAATTCCTTCAAAAAAGTCAAAGATTGACAAGAAGCCAATAAAACTTTCTGATGACAAGTTGTGCAAAGAATCTTCTACAAATTCATTGAATGTGGAACACGAGCTAGATTTCCGTGCAATGGAAGTTACTCGAAGACCAGATGTTGTAAGTTGCATTACAAGCACTCACTTTTTTCTTCATACTTCTTATTCTTTCCCTTCTTATACCTTATACTTCAACATATGACCAAATAAACTAGATGGAGTTGTTAAAATAGGGTCAATTGGTTGGCCTTTAGCACAATCACGCTTTAAAAATCTTGGCTTAAACAACTTTGATGGGGTAATATTTTATCCTATCTCGACATAACCAATTGTCTTGAGTTTACTCTTGATTGATTTCAACTCTAGCCAATTTAATTTATTAAAATTAAAGGGTTGGATTGTTTATTCCTTGTGAATCTCTTTCCAATTACACCTTAAGGTCTTAATGGGGGCTTCCTTGTATAAAAAAAATGATCCATTCATGAGTTAAAGCTCTATTGTCAAATAACACTTTTGTTTTTAGTTTTTTGAATGGTTGGCATCATATGTTATTGGAAAAATTTAACAAATTTCTATATTTGATCTTTCGATCCCATTTACTTTGATGTAAACTTTGCTTTGATGGGTTGGTTGGAGAGTAGCCTATTAAGTTAGTTGATATTGTTTCAATTGTTATGCACTAGATTATTAATAGCATGCAATAGCGTAGCTATAGTGGTGGTGTGTCGTGTCACACTGACTCGCTACTATTCTTAGGTTGTGTTGTGTTTTACTGTTGCAGCGTTTGGACACGATTCATAGGATTTTAGAACAAAATGAAATATTTCCTAAGTATTCGGGAGGAAAAGTCAATTCTTTGTTCCTATTTCGATTTTAATGATTTCTAGGTATAGAAATTAGACTTAGTTTTTTTGTTATAAGGTTATTGTAATTGTTTATTGTGGTGAATAAAATATTTTAGCTTTACATTTTTTTAAGTAGTTTTCATGTATCTTCTTTCCTCTTTTTTGTTTTAATTTGGGTATTAATCATTAAAATTAATGCTAAAATTAAAGATATGCATAATTAATGATCAAAGTTGAAAGTTTAAGAACATAAGATATATCAAATGTTAATAACAAGTAATAACAAAATACACGTATTAAACCAAAGAAAACATTTTTCTAAATTTTTTTATTATGCAATTCTTGTAATATGAGAAATGTTGTGGCAAATCTTGTAATTCCATATCTAATAAATTGGGATTTATTTGTGAATCTCTTTACAATGTTCAAAATCAATGAATAATTAAAAGAGAAACTCACAAGACTAACTCTCCTTTATATTCTTCTCTTTACACACTATATCAAATCAATATTGTGTGCAACACATGAAGTCTAATACAAATGTTGTTAATGACTACTTGTGCAATATTTTTCTCTCTAATCTTCTTAACAAAACTATTTAAGAGCTCAAACAACTATTCTCTTTTTCATATATGATGCATCAATGCTCTTTACAAACATGGAACTAGTTGGATAATTTACTTAGCAATTGATCAATGTTCTATTTATTTTATCAATCCATGCATCTCATTCACACTTTTCTCTTCTTCATGACTTTTCAACATTTCCTTTGGATACTATTACACCTTTATAATAGAAGGAACTTTACACTCATGATAGCTAAGAGACTTTAGGTGTGTGCCATAATTTTCAATAGCTTCAACCGATATTTTGTTGTTTTTTGAGCGCACAACATTGAAAGCAATTACATTCCTACAAATGAATAGCTCTGTGTATTGTATTGTTCTTGTTCTTACCTTAACACAAACATCATTTATACTTGTTTTTCTTTATGCCTTTGCTAATTTGATGTCCATTGTCAATCTATAATCAAATTTTATCTATTGGCTTCACTAATGCTTAGGAAGAAATTAAAATAGAGGTAGTTACCTGGGAAGCAAAACGAAGCAAGAGAATCAGAATAGAGAAAGAAAATGAAAACAAAGTTGAAGATGACTGTAAAATGTCTCAGTCATGTTGGAAGCTTTTCTAGAGTTGAAGAAGATGAAGATTGCCGGAGAACAACTTTGTCGCGTTGGAAGCTTCACTTGAGATGAAAGACACAAGAAACAAGAGGATGTCGCAGAAAACAAGAGGAGAGATGAGAATGAGATAAGGGCTTAGGGCTTAGGGCTGGCTTGAAATGAGAATGAAAAGGGGGCAAAATCGCATGATATTTTCCCATAAAAGTCGCCCAACGTTTAGAAAGGGAGGATAAAGTAGGGATTTGACCTAGGATGAAATAGTGACTGCCATTTGCTATGTTCTTTGCCATGATTCTCGTCGCGATGGCTGCTACAATGAAATGCGTTATGACGATAAGAAGATAGCAGCACCCTGCCACTCACTTTGATCCACACCTTTGTGATAGTGATTGCTATGACCACTATTCACTATTGTGGTTGGAGGTGATGACTAGAACTTGACCGAAAAAGGATGACAGCCATAGTGATGCTTGTTGGACAAAATAGAAGTTGCTGACTATGGTGAATAGGATTACTTAGGGATTCAAGAGTGCTGAATTCGAATGATACAATGGCATGCAGAAATTGACAATGCAAAAGGGTAGCAAATTTCCAAAATTACTCCTCTTTAAGACTTCTAACCTTAAGAAAACAAGGATAAGTTTGACATTTTTGCTGACAACTGCATTTTTATATGATTCGTATCATTCCTGCTGCTACACAAAACTGCAACACTATGCACTCTGTGTTGTGGTGGGGAAAACTGCAACACTGCTATCGTGCAATATTGACTACTATGATTTGAATATGTTTTTGCGGGGTTTATCAAAATTAAACCATTGAAACAAGTGCTTATGTTGTTGGCTTTTATGTGATAAGCTGTTGTTAAATAAACACACAATTATGTTGTCTATCTTGTTAAATAAACACTTAACCATTTGGCAGCCCAATTGGCAAATAATTTGGTACATACTGACGTTGATAGCTAAAGCAACATATTTTAGTTCTTGCTTGTGTTTTCTTAACAATGTTGTTGCTGTTAGAAGTTTTGCTGATTTCATCATTGTTGTGTTTCCCTTGGGATGTGTTTTTCCAAATTGTTTTGTAACATTGCAATTCAAGAAGGGATGTTGGTTTAAGCTAAGTGAGTTATCAATGCACTTTGAGGTATTTGTGTGAGAAGATGACAAAACCAATTAAGACGATTTGGACATATATAAGGAAGGTCACTAATGACATCAGGGATGTGGATTGATTGTATGTTCTTTCACTCTTGAAAAAGAGTAGAGGGGGATAAAAGAGAATTTGGAAGGAAATCATCAAAATGATATCATGATAAATATTATTTTTGAAAATGTCAATTTTTCATTGAGTTTAATGATGTATGATCCATATAGTCTACCTCAAGAACTGAACCAGTTCCTTACACATTCCTATTTTCTCCAACATATCAATAGTTTACTTTGTTTGTGAGATAGCTATATTGCCACTTCAATGCCAAGGAAATATCTGAACCATGGTTTAGATGTGATAGAACAAATGCTGTTTGGGTACTGTTAAGGAGGATTTCAAATAAGATATTCAATGAGCTCTTCCTCTATAGGTAGGTATGTTTGGATTAGTCAGAGTTCTATTCCTAATAGATTCAAAGTCTTTGTGAAGATTATGAAGAAGAAAGATCATGAATATCTTCTCAAGCTTTGTGAATTGAAGGTTATCGCCCATCAACATCATCTTTAGCTCTTCAAAAGTGGATCAAGCCTTGTTCAAGCAAGAGCACATATCATTATCTGTCATTTGCTCCGACTATTGTAAAATTGTTTTATATGGACGAAAGTGAGCCATCAGTAGTCCACCTTTTGCCATTTGTCCCTTAATTGTTTGTGATATCAATAGTGTTATTATAAATATTGTCTTCAAGACTTTGACCCAAGAACCAAACTTTAATAATGGATTGTCAATAGAATTGGATGTGTTAACCCACAAACCAAATTTCAACAGCGAATTGTTAATAGAATTGGATGTTAACCCAAGAACCAAACTTCAACAGTGGATTGTCAATAGAATTGGATGTGATGTTAGGCCAGGTTGGAAAGCGAAGGAAATTAGACTATTCTTGGAGGATCAGTCTTGTGAGTGCTTGTAGGAGTGTGAACCCAACTTTGGCAATGGCGTCTTCAATAATGTAAGGGTGTGAACCCATTTGGATCACTGATTTGTTTATGAAGTGTACAATAAGTGTTTGGACACTGGATTCTTAATAGGTGTTTTTTTTTTTAAATCTTTCAATTCCTGACTCATATAACAATAAAAGATTTTTCCTTGAAGAATCTACGTGGAAGTCAATTTTAGAGTTACAAGAGTTGTGACTCTACAGCAATGTTGTGGTGTGTTGGTTTATCATATTCTAATAAACATGAGAATAAATGTTTTTTAGCCATGTCTTTTTGGCGTAATTGTTAGAATTGCATGAGCTGATACGGTTTGGCAAACCAAAAATTCATTTCATGTAATGAATTGTAAGTAAATGACTTATGAATAGTGTTGTCCGTGTATCAATTGATTTAGTTTTATGTCAGTGATACGGATTGCATTGTTTAAGTAGTATGTGCTTTTGTTTTATTTTTATTTTGTTTTCCCAATTATCATTAAAATATCAACATAATCAAATTAGCTCAAGTTGTTAATTTGTAAAGGAATTGAAGAGGCTCTACTAACTGCATCCTATATGATTTCCATTCAATGGCTTATTGTGTGGTGAAATCCTTGTGAAATTTTTTAAAAAGGAATTAATAGAATTTTGGTTTTACATATTTTGTTTTGCAAATAATGACTCTTGTTTTTGTCATTTTTTTTAATAATTTAGTTGATCTGGATGCATGGACAACACTATTGATTCAAGTAAATGTGTTCTTATGCAACTTTTTCTTTTTCACTTTGACAGGATAGAAGCAAATGGTTTAAGGGATTTGTAAGTTTTTTCTCCATGCTCTCTTTCAACATCTTTGTTTAATTGAATTTTCTTGTCGGATGTAGTGAACTAAGTATCTACCATTTATGTTTCCTCTTTTGCGTAGTGATGCTTTTGATTTAAATCTAGTAAAACAAAACTGGCTTATTATGAGTGATTTTATATCATTTTCAGCCTTGGGAAGAAAGAATGAAAACTGCTTATGAGCAAGGAAAACTTGTGCTACTTCAAAACTTGGATCCATCTTTAACCTCATCAGAAGTACAGGTAATGATGATTCCAAATTAATGCATTCTTATGGACTACAGGGAGAACTAGAATACAAAACCAAACATCCTATAAAAGGAATATTTAAAGTATGTTGAACACTGTTGTGGAATGGTTATTTTTTTTAATTAAAAGCATGAATTAGTTATTCCTTATTCTTTCTAGATTGTATTTGAATTGGAATATAAGAAATTTCTTTTTTATTTAATTTTATATTTTTGTTTAGAGTAGTTCACTTGGTATTCTGCCTAAGGTCTTAGCAAATTCTTTGTTTATCTAAAAAAAAATGTGTACGGCTTTTGGTTTTGCTACATGCTGTGTCAATTAATGTTTCCATCCAGTCATTTTTTTATCCCAGTAATCTCTGTCACTAATGTGGTTGACATATTGTTCTATATCCCAGGATATTATTTGGCATGGGTTTAGAGAAAGTTGCACTGCAAAGGTGATCCAGAAGACTGCTTATTCAAGTCCTCATTCTGGTTAGATCTAGTCTTTAATCACCTTTATTTATTACTCGTTGAATACATATTCCCATCTTCTGATTGAAAAAGACAATTATGCACCATGTTATTTATCATATAGGTCAAGCTTTTGTTATATTTAAAGGAAAGGAAGCAGCAGAGTTGGTTGTGAGAAGATTAGATGAGGGCTGTTTCTTAATGTCTAATGGGCGGTATGTATTTTCCTTCATATGCATGATAACCACACTGTCAAATAGCATGAAACCTCTCTGACACACACACACAGGGAAAAGATCCAATTACTCTAGATGTTCTTAGACAACTACTCCTCTTAATTACTTGTGTTAGAAAATAAATTTTTTAAATCCAACTGTTCAATCATGTAACATCATTTGGACAATCATGCATGAGAAATTTCTGATAAATTGACCATTCATAGATTGTAATTTTATATCCAATGTTTGCATATAGTTTTAAAAAGTATATCATATTTTTAAAATAAAGTTAATTAACAAAATATAAAATCATTTTAAATTATATGAAATTTTGGTAGACTTAATTTACATAATGAGAATTTCAAATTTATGGCAATGTTATCCATGGTGGATGGGGGTCATGACAAAAAGCCAAGAAATGCCATAAACTATGGTGGATGCCATGGCGGCTTCAAGTGACGTGATGGGCATAATATATATAGAACATTGCAAAATGTGATATAAAATTAAAAACTAACTTCATATGTCAAAATCAAGAATCTAATTGATAAAAAATCATCAAATAATATCATATGCCTCGAAACAAGATCTCATAATAACATAATAGCATATGTCTCAAAGCACATGTTCAAGACAAACTAAAAGCAATCAAGCCTCAAGTGAAACAAAGTGATAAAAAATACGAAAGACCAATTGAGGAAGCTTGTTGGATTAATCTGATTAGCTGCCCATGAAGAAATGGAGGAAGCTTCTTGTTGTTAGGCCATGTTAATGAAAACTGTTGCTCAAACAAGCAGCAGTGTCAGAATAAAAAATGGATGAAAAACAGAACAAAAACTTAGAAAAGAAAATGAGAAGCAAATCTGAGAACAGAAAAAAAAAAGTTGAAACAAAAAAGAATGAAAAGAGAGAAATTGAATGGAAGAGATTTGTGGAGAAGGAAAAGAAAAACAAAATGATGGTGGATAAAACAAAAACAGCAACAAAAACCCGCTCACTGGAAAGTGAGGGTTGTCAGAGCTCATTGTCGTTAGAGGCAGGGAAGGTGACTGGAGGGGAAGTTGAGAGAGGGAGATGAGAGGTTGCTGTGGGAGAGAAAGATGTAGCTGAGACTGAAGCAGAGGCCAACAGGGCTGAAAGTCCTAAATGTGGACTCTTTATGTTGGATCACGGTGAAACTGGGTCAAACCAGCTGAGCCAATTTTTATTTTTTTTTGGCAGTTTCTCAATTTCTGCCATGGCCACCATGACCTGCCATATGTATGGTGGATTGTTGAAAAAACTGCCCCCATTTTCTGCTATGGCTGCCATTTAATAATACTGATCAATGGTTGAATTAATGAAATTTATTGTCTATAAGAAGTGAATAAAGGAAGTAAGTTGGACAAAACTTACTCTTGCAGTAAATGTATTCCTTTTCTTGGACACAAGAAACAAATAATAATGAATTCTGAATAAAGATTGAAAGAATCTGTTTAGTGTAAGCACAAGGTTATGTCTTGCGCACATGGTTTCTACCTAACAATGAGTTTCCTCCTTCAAAACACAAGAATTACAATCTGACAGCTTATATGCCTTTTAACAAGTCTGTAACCCAACTTAATTGCTTTTATGATAAAATTAAGATTTGCTGTTATAGATGCTAATTTACTATGTTGGTTGGACACTGAATTGTAAAATTACTTTATCAGCTTAAATGTTAAGTTTGTGTTATTGTTAGCTTTTGTATATTGTTTTACTTGAGAACATTTGATTTTATTACTTGGTAGGCCTCTTGTTGGAAGCATTGGAGTTCCTTGGTTTCCAGAAAAAAAACCAACATTTTATGGTCATCATGTTGTCGATAAACTTCGAATGATGCAAATGCAGCGTGAGATGGTACAGCATCTATCTTTTTAGTTCGTGTTCGTGGCCTAATTTTGGAAATGTTGATCGAATAGTTATGCCAGTCTGATTTTGGTTTTTCAGAAAGATGCTGTATCTACATCACATTGTTCTCAGCCCAACAATATTGAATATGATATGGCCGTAGAGTGGTGCTTACTTGAAGAAAGAGCAAACAAATCATGGAGAAAATTGTCTCAGGTATATATACTTTTTTAGTAATATGCTAGACATCATTTTCAATTTGCTTTATTGCATGTTAATTTTTTTTAATATAATTCCGTTATTCCTTAAGCGACAAGGTGAGGAGTTGAGTAAACTCAAAGCTAAACTGAAGTCTTTAACTGATCTCAAATGACCTTGTACGCATTTTGACGGTAAGTTCTCTTTCAAAGATAGTTTTCCTTAGTTGCATATTTGATTTCTGTAGTTTTACTGTTTTGGAAGATTTTTAATTAGCTTAATTTTCAATAGGCTCCTCTGTCTTTGTTCATTCTGCATGGTTGCAAGGGACATAATTGGTGCAGCCACCAAACATTTTTTTTGCCTTATGCTTTTGACGTTTGGTTTCTAGAGGTAATGAATAAGTTTCCTGCTTCAAGTATGAGTTTCTTCTACTATCAGTTTTCTTTTTTCAATCCAATCGTTGTGTTTGTTTCTTCTTTTCAGTAAGATTCTTTGCAGTTCTCTGTCACTTCTTTTATAGTTAGTCAGCCGGGTCCTTTTCAATATTAAATTGTGCTAGACATTTTTTAGAAAACAGTGTAAATCAATTTGTTCAACTGTAAAAGTAGGAGAACGATTACTCTAACTTGAACTTACTAAATCCATCAGTGAATTTAGTATTAATATTTGTGTGATCTTTGATGTCTTGTCCACGTATAGCTAACACTTGGCTATTTTGAGTGAAATAGGTCCGTTTTGAATGTGCATTTTTTAAAGAAAAGCACTTGCTCATTTAGAAAACAGTTTTAAAATTTTAGCAAATTCATAGGTTTTTGTAAAGAAAAACAGCTTGTGTTTGTTAAATGAAAAAGGTTTTGGAAAAGAAAAAGTTTACTTCAAAAGACCCCCCCCCCCCTTCTCTCCAAAAAAAAAAATCTAAAAATATGCCGACATCTGCAGCAGTGAATAGAAGGAAAGTGTGTTTGGATCTACGTATCAATGTATCCATAGGGTAGCTTCTTGCAGTTTTTTTAAACTTCGGTTTTTCTTCGCAGGAATTGGGGATTGACTTGCTGATGTAGTGGCATGAATGGGGCGATTTTTGGTTCGGTAGTTGTAAATATTATTTTCCTCGGGGTTGAGAGTTGTGAAGGAACGTTTGTTCCATGTTACAATCCAACTCCGGTTCAAGCTGTTGAATTCGAAGTGTTAATTACCCGGTGTAAGTTTGCTGTTGTTAATGTACTGTTACTGTATATGTATACATTATCTGGTCATTGTTGGGAAATGTGTAAAGTTCGGTTTTATCCTAATTTTGCCTTGCTTTCTCGTCTTTCTGTCGCATCCCCGATTTTTATTTGGGATCAGTGAAGTATACTTTCGGCCCTGTATTTGGTTGCGTTTTAGCGAACAATTTATTATTTAGACTCAAGTTGGAGAAACTTTTAAAAAGAACTTGTAGAATTATAGAATAAAGCAATAAAAAAATTATAAGTAAAAATTAATGTGTACTTAAACGAGAATTTTCATCAGGTTGCCCCCCCCCCCCCTTCTCTTGATCCGAGATATGAAATTTGATAGGGTTCTAGTGGAATAAGATATGAATTAAAATTTATATACAAAATATAAATTTTAATTCAATAACTAACTAATCTGATAAAATATTAAAACGAGATACAAGTTGTATATACAGTTTCCTTCATATCATATATTTTTTTCGATAACGTCAAACGTTAAAACATCCCATATAATAAATCGAGGTTAGAGGTGTGCATAGGTTAGGTTGGTTTCAATCTTGGGAAGGAGAAGGAGAGGGGGGGTCTAAACTAATTCAAATCAATCAATACTTTTGTTTCGAAATTGGCGAAAAATCAACAAATTCACAAGGTTGGCAACTAAGCACAAGGAGTACACCAGAGATGAAACTTAACATAGCAATCAACAATCTTATACCCAACCAAGCATATCCTGATTTGAAATGAAACATCCTATAATATGGAACTGGGTGGCTTGGGCAACTGGTTTGAAAACCTATTTGAGCCTAGAACAGCCCATTTGAAAATCTGACAAGGTAATTAGTCTTGTATTAAAAGCAGATAAAATATCATATTGTGAGGATTAATTCTCAATCATAATAATGTCTAAAGATTAGTCTTATAATGTGCATAAGTATGACAAGTTAAATTAATAAGATAGTTTTAAAATATTTTTTCTTTAACGTTTAATTTGAATATATATTAAATAAAAACAGTTCTTGCATTTTTTAAAATATTGCTAATCATGTTGCTATATATATACACACACACACCAGAAAAATAAAATAAATAGAAAACATTTTCATAATATTTATATATCATTAATGGTTGAAGGTAATTTTTACTAATATGTTTGTAATCAAGTTTCTAAAGTAAATAGTGACTTGAAATATTTAGTTGAGATTTTTTGTTTTTAGAAACAGTCCTATTTATTAAAACAAGATTGTTTCTCATAAATAATATTTGTCATGTAAATAAATAATAATAATAAAATCACTGTAAGAAAGAAACGAAACTAATTTTAGTTCGAACATATTATTTTTCAGTTGATTTGATTTTTATATTCAAGTTTTTTTCTTATACTTTTTTCAACTCAATTCTCTCGATATTTTAATTACTCTAAATTTAACTAATTAATATCCTGCCTTTTTCTTGAGCGGTACATGGTTTGTTGAATCCTAATCAAGTAGGTGTTGAATAAGCTACATCAGATTCGAATGATATAACTAGGCACTTTATTTCAGTAAAAATAGTTTGATATTTTGTGTTTGACAGCTTGATAATTTATTAATCTTTTATTTAAAGAAAAATGCGAATTTTATGCTTAAGTTGCTTATATAATTTATTTAATTGATTATAAATCACTTTTTGTTCAATTAAGCGCAAGAATTTCACTTTTAATAATATCAAAAATTAACGAAGAAATATTTGCAAAATTAGTAAGCATAAAATAGTATATTTTATTACTTTAAGAATGTATTTTACATGAATAGAATTTGTTACTGTTTTTAAAAATAAAATATGACCGTTATTTTAAAATTGTCTTGATAGGGACAGGTTGTAGCGAAACGGAGCGAGTAGCATTGCAATTCTCACTCGCAGCGAGTAACCGAATCTGTGTTCTTTGCTCTGTGAAGACTGTGACTCTGCACTCGCTCACTCACTCTCTGCTGTGCTGTACCTCTTCTTCCTCACCATTCTCATTCCCCATTCCTATACGACGCCGTTTTGCTTCCAAACGCACATCTTCTTCGTCACTTCACTCACCGAAATGGGTTGCGCCCAATCGAGAATCGACAACGAAGAATCGGTGGCTCGCTGCAAAGAGCGCAAAACTTTGATGAAGGAAGCGGTGGTTGCTCGGAATGCCTTCGCCGCCGCGCATTCCGCCTACTCCGTCGATCTCAAGAACACCGGCGCCGCCCTAAGCGACTACGGCCACGGCGAAACCCACCACCACCACCCTCCCCCTCTCGACCCTCCCTCTTCCTCTTCCTCCAACCCTCCGCCGCCGCCTCCGCCGCCAATCGACGACCACCTTCCTCCTCCGCCTCCGCCGCTCCCCAACTTCTCCCCGGCGTCGCTCAAACGCGCCGTCACCATGCCTCCCGTCGCCATGCAGCACCACCGCAGCCCCGTCGCCGTCTCCATTGCCGAAGAGGAGGAGGAAGAAGAAGAAAGCGCCAAGGCGGAGAAGAAAACCGCCGGATCGCGAGCCGCGCCGCAGCCTTCTCCGCCGCGGACGCCGGAGATGAAGGCGGTGCCGTCCATGTCCTCGAATGGCATGGCTTGGGATTACTTCTTCATGGTGGAGAACATGCCTGGACCTTCCCTGAACGAAGAAGATGATAACGATAACGATGATGTTGATGTCGATGAGGGTAAAGTGGAGAATGTGGTTGAAGATGAGGTTGAACCTAAGACACCGGAGATGAAGGTTGTGGAGGAGAACGAGAATGTTGAAATAACCGAGTCAAAAAAGCACGTTGAACATTCAATGACAGCACCAGCTGAGTTTATAAGAGCAATAAAGGTTGCTCCTTCTGTTTCTCTAATGCAGATTTTGAGTTTCCTTGATGATCATTTTTTGAAGGCTTCCGAGAGTGCTCAAGAAGTTACCAAGATGCTTGAGGCCACTAGGTTGCATTACCATTCCAATTTTGCTGATAATCGCGGTAATTTCAATTTTTTGTTTTTTTGGTTAGGCTATGGACGTGTATGTTAGTTTTTGTTGAACTTGAATGGTTCTTCTACTGATGTGATGAGCAGGGCACATTGATCATTCAGCTAGGGTCATGCGGGTTATTACGTGGAATAGGTCCTTCAGAGGTGTATCCAATGGGGATGGTGCAAAAGATGATTTTGATTCTGAAGAGTATGAAACGCATGCCACTGTTTTGGATAAGTTGTTAGCCTGGGAAAAGAAACTTTATGAAGAGGTCAAGGTAAGGTGTTAGTGTCTTCTCTTGTTCCATTTTTGACATCCATACTCTGCGTTTCTTGTTTTGTTTTTATACATTTGTGCTAATTAATGAGTATTTGCATGTAGTTCTTAGTGAATGTTTAGGCCTTGTTAATCTTTCCTTCTTGTCAACAGCAAGGTGAGCTTATGAAGTTTGAATACCAAAGGAAAGTTGCAATTCTGAACAAGCAGAAGAAGCGCGGTGCCAGTGCTGAATCGTTGGAAAAAACTAAAGCAGCTGTCAGTCATTTGCATACGAGATATATTGTTGACATGCAGTCGATGGATTCCACAGTTTCAGAAGTGAATCATATTCGTGATGCACAGTTGTATCCCAAACTTGTTGCTCTTGTTATTGAGTAAGTATTGCCGATAAGAAAATTAAGATGTGTGTGGAATTTGACATTTTATTGGTGGTTGATTCATAAGTTGGCTGGGTTTGGATGTAGAGTCGCACAAGAAACTTGTCATTGGAACTTCTTTCATGGCTGACAGCATCTAGAAATTCTTGCTTATTGGTCTAATCCTAGTGACTAATGTTGCATCATATATTCTAGAAAAATATCCCGACCTAGAAGGGCATTTTGTGCTACAGTTTAGTACTTTGAAATTCTGTGTCATTTTTTAAATTCTGAGCCTGTACACTGAAGTACATTTTAATATAATGAAGAAAAAGAGATCAATTTATAATTATAAGAATGATATGTATACTTTGACAGTTTTAGATTTGCTCAGAAACAGACTGCTCCTTGATCCAAAATTTTGAATGTTTTATCTTGCTTCCATACTCACTGTATTCTGTATTTTTATTCCCATAAAAGGGGAAGTGTGGGAGAGCTTACGGCAGCATAAAAGGAGGTATTTGTACCCTGAATAAATCTTAATCATGAGCCTACTTGATTTCTCTTCAGGATGGCGAATATGTGGGAAAACATGTGCATACATCATGACAGCCAGCTGAAAATAGTTACAGACCTCAAATCTCTTGACATTTCTCAAGCTCCTAAGGAAACAACCAAGCATCATCACGAACGCACTGTACAACTTTGGAATGTTGTCCAAGAATGGCATTCACAATTTGAGAAGCTTGTGACTCAACAGAAACATTACATCGAAGCTCTTAACAGCTGGCTAAAGCTAAATCTCATTCCTATTGAAAGCAGCCTAAAGGAGAAAATCTCATCCCCACCAAAAGCCCAAAATCCACCAATCCAAGCCCTTCTCCATGCATGGCATGATTATATTGACAAGCTTCCCGATGAGCTTGCAAAATCTGCTATTTCCTCTTTTGCTGCTGTAATAAAGACTATCATACTTCAGCAGGAGGAAGAGATGAAGTTAAAGGAAAGATGTGAGGAAACCAGAAAGGAGTACTTGAAAAAAAACCAAGCATTTGAGGAATGGTACCAGAAGCATTTACTGCGGAGGGGTGCCGATGAAGCAGAACATGAAAGAGGAGAAGAAGTAAATACAAACAATCCTGTCTCAGAGAGGCAGTTTGTTGTTGATAGCTTGAAGAAGAAATTAGAAGAGGAAATTGAATCCCACCAAAAACTGTGCGTTCAGGTGCGAGAGAAGTCACTGCAGAGTCTCAAAACTCGCCTGCCTGAACTCTTCCGTGCTTTATCAGATTATGCTCATGCCTGTGCTGATGCTTATGAGAAACTCAAGTACATCACACAGCCCCGAGGTGGTGTGGCATGACAACATGAATGCTTTTTTGTTCACTTTTTGAGAAGTTTGTATTTCGGACCTAATGTCTGCTTGTTGTTCTCACACAAGAAGGCATTCATAATCTAGCTTGACATGCAGATTCATCAATCTTGTGTGAAAATTTTGCCACGGCTTTTAGTTCTAACCATCCTTGATTATGTAAGCATGTTGCTTAAGTGTGTAGTATGTGTCTAAGGTAGATGTGTCATGAAATAGTGATTCATCGGCACTGCAACTTTATTTAAGTCATTTAGTCCAAAATTCAAAAGATTATTAATCTTCACTTTAGTCGTATGTTATGACTCATCATGCTACTGACGTTTATCTAAAATCACAACCCGAAGAGTCAGAAAAGTCTGTACACACTACCCTTGACTTGTGAAAAATAAAGGGAAAAAGGAATCTTAACTTCGGCGGTTGTATTTACTTTTCCATATATTAAGTGGCGGAATAACTTAGATTCTCCCAATGATGCTGTCAGCACAATCCATCAGGAAGATGAAAGGAATATGATTTAGTAACATCTTTTGGGGTTACATCTTGTGATGGTAGAAATAGAAAATAGGGTGAAATGAGGAAAATTATGAGGTGTTCATGTGACTAGTATAAGTAAAAAGATTAATATTATTAAGATTACATTTCAAAGTTCCGAGTGAGAACATAGGGAGGCGGCTAGCTAAGCAAACAATGACTCTTTCGGCGGTTTAATGTTGACACTTTGGTCGGAACCTTGTTTAATAATCCATTAATCGTCACATGGGTCTCTTTCTACAATTCAAACTACTTCCTGCCCTAGTTGGCGGCGGGCCAGGCTTAATCTCACCCAACATATTAATTATTATATTTAGAGATAGTTAAGATTAAGAATACCCCATCTAAAACAAGGGTATTGGAAAGCCTCTGAAGGAAGGATCAAAAGGGGTATTAAACTCCCCTCCTCTTGTCCTTGCATACAAAAGTTGCATTACTTTGAAGCTTTGAAGCCTCTTGACCATGCTATATGCCCTTATATGAAAAGGTGCCAACTTGCTTTGAAGCTTCTGTTGTGAAGGAAAACTTGGCAATCTTTGCAAATGGATGTGAAGAAGTATTGGTTAAGTTCAAGAAGTCAAAGGACACAAAACATCCAGTTAGGTCGGAGCTACACAAAATCACACAATAGGAGCTCTTCTCCTTACACTAGCAGCTATGATGGCACAAAAACATTGTGGAAGATGCTTTGGAGAAAACTCAAGAGATCATCAGATAAGAAGAAAGTCTTCAATTCTCCCACTACAATGGAGGGTGTTTATGATCCTGAAACATACTCAATGAACTTTGATCAAGGAACTGGGTGGATGGAACCAGACAACCTTCCTCGTTCCTTCTCGGCTCGGTTTGCGGATCCATCGAAGATCTTACCACCAAAACATTTATTGGGTTAAGAAGGAACCTTACTCAATTCTAAGGTTGCTGTTGTCTTGTGACATCAAGGTTCTAAGTTTAAAGACTTAGAATAACCTTTTACATATGCACGAGTAAGACTACTTACATATGTCCTCTCCAAATTTCAAGTAGTGAAAGTCTCGTGCATTGGATCGTTCCTTATGGTTAGAAATTTGATGTACATGCTTTTTTGTTTTCTTGGTTTTCAAGTCCATTTGTATAATTTTCTTACACCTGACTTAATGCACCTCTTTCTCTTGAGGTGTTGATCACATATTTCTTTTTGGCTTTTGATGTTGTTCCGGATGAAACCTATAAACTTAGGATGCGTGTAACGTATGATGATATCTATTAGAGAAGCAATGATATATACATAGAGCATTAAACGTCCATCTATATGTATTAGCTGGTTAATTTCGAACTAAGAAAATATAATTTGATTATAAATTCTGTTTTTTGATTTCTTAGAATTAGTGGTATTGAGTTAATTTTGAGCTTTGATCTTATCTTCTAGTTTCTATGTTTGTTCGTGCTGGTAATTCAATAATGCTTGCGATTGAGAGTTGACCTTATTATCGTAATGAAACCGCAACAAACCATAATAAATAAATATATAAAATATACGCAAAGCTTGAATATTTCAACCTTCAAACTTCTGTGCCTTACAAGCCTTAAAATGAAGATGGTGACGGAACTCTCGAGGCTCATAGTTTAATAGATTAGTTAGTGGGAACTAGAAGACGAAAATAAAAACAGAAGAATCTTGCAGGGCTACTAGTGCTGGCCTGATTATAGTCTTATATACTATGCATAGTATCATATTGCTTTTGGCATTGGTAAAAAGTTAATATAGTGTTAGTCATCATCTCAAAATTGCATGAGAAAAGAATGAACTTTTCTGTGTATAGGGAGGTGGTGGGGTTCATTAAAATTGGCTACATGATAAGGTAGTATATCTGTATATGTTCCACCCAAACATGTACATCTTGCACTACTTTTTGTACTGTGTCATCAAAAGGTTATTTGAGTGTATTATGATAAGTAATGCGTTTTCGGCTAAATTCTTCGATATTCTAACTTTATATAAACACAAATAACTTCTCATCCCCTCAACTTTTATACCTATAAATCCATATCACACCGTCCAATTCAATCCATGGGATTAATTCTTCGGTTCAAATACCTCTTATTTTATTAGTTTAATGATTAATTTGAACAAATCGTATTCATATTGATATCTCTTAATCTTAGGTGAAATTAAACCCATCAGTTCTCGTCTTTACATAATTGATTGACAAAATTTGAATGGAAATATAGACCCAATAAGTAGTAAAAGATTTAAGAAGTTCTGGAGCCTGCAATAGTCTAAAATTATATTTATATAAGTGTGTTTTTTAAACAATTGTATGGAATAAATTTTAATTTAATATTTTATTTTATATGGTTGATTGCTTTTAAAAAATTATGTGTACAACTCACCTGAGTTGTTGGCTTGTGTTTATTTATTACAAGTAGAATTTAAAATGTTAATAAAAAATATTTATTTTTATAAAGAATAAATTAATTTATAATAAAATTTTAAAATTAATTATTAATTAAAATAGATTATTGTTAATTTTTAGTATTGTTTTTGACAAGTTCTTACTTATGCTCATATATCAAAATCTAATCACGCCTGATCCTACCCTAACAAAGTTTGAGTAATTTACCCATCATTTTGATGTATATGAGGGATCTTATAGATAAATTTATATAGTACAGTTCCTAGATCAAACCGCTGACAAAATCAAAATATATTAATGTAATAGTGATTCTAAAAATTGATTGTTTCAAGGTCAAAGCACTTATACTTTTGAGAAAAAATAACTAATTATATAAATATGTTAAAAAAATGTGTCAAGAAAGTGTGTTATTAATATTTTTTTTTTTCATTTTACATTAAATGGTCTCACCAAGAAAAGATCCTTGATGGGGTCTGTATTAACAATTGAACATTCAAACAAGAGAAATGATTTAAAGTTGCGAGAAAGAATCATTGTTTTTTTTTTTATTACATTTTTGTAGGTTCACAAGTACAACAAGTAAAACATAAATAAATTCAATCTCAGCACTTGTTTAACATTTCTCATCTATTTTTATTTTTCTTTTATTTTAGATTATTTATCATATCTATCATTTGTATTTTATTTTATTTTATTTTCCTATCAAGTGAGACACCCATTGGCGTGTACATGAAACATTTTCCAGAAAAAAAACAGAGAAATGGTAAATTTTCATCTCCCCAAAACATTCTGTACCATGTCGCCACTGGCCCCCCACATAATGTTAAACAGTACTCGAAAAGTCTGAAACTTTGTGTGGTACAGCACGTGAACTATATCATCATATTGATACTTTTCTGAAAAGGAGAAGAAAAATAAAAGCATTGTAATTAGCTATCTGATTAATGGTTCATGAACACCGAAAGTTGGAAGTACGTTTCAGGTGAAACAAAAATTAAATGCTTTAACTTGAATTACGCAGCTTAACAGCAACAAAATTGTAACTCCTTGTCAACGGAAGTAATAAATAGAGAATAAAGTCATAAACATTCAAACCCTTCTTAATTCCATCAAAATCTGGTTGCTGCATCCTGCTTTTCTAAGCCCCAGAAGTTCAATAAATTAAAGACAAATACAAAAAAAGATTTAACAGTTACCTTTTTACTAAACTTGATGATTCTCATTTTATAGATCATAAAATGGTTCTCCGTTATTTTCTGGCCTTTTGCTCGTAAGTCTATTTTTTTTACACTTGAATCTTCTAATTTGTATACTCATTCAGCCCCGAAGAAGTGCGTGATTGTATTTTCATTTCCTTCTTAAAGCTTCTGAAATTCTCAATTCTCAATTTGTGCCAAATCAAAATAAAAAGATGCTTGAAAAACTTTTCCTTAACTTATGAGATGACAAACACAATCACGCGATTCAGAATACAAAACAATTAATAAGAAGTTTCTTTGACGATTTATAATCTTAACTGAGTACAAATTAAAAATTTAGGACTACAGGCCAATATACTCTTATAAAAGCTTATTTACTATTGATTTGAATTTAAATATTTTATAAATATAATTAACTCAAATTTAACAATAAATTAACTTTCACTTTTTCACTGTGTACACTTGCTCGTTTTAAAGGAGATAAATTCATATATAGTTGTCATACATTGCAAAAAATGATAAAGTTTTCAAAACCTACCATTTTTTTTTGTCAAACCATAAAATCATTTGGAATGTGTATACGCATTGATGCGTACAGATAGACCAAAGTAGCCCAATAACAGGGTTCAAACCTTAGCATTAGGCCCACATATATAATACTCAATAGGGCTTCTCACCTCGCAGCCTATATTAGACATCTGTGAGTTAACCCAAAAACAAAAAGCAATGTGTCAAACCAAAACAAGTTGGTTGGGAATTCATGAAAATTATGATCCGTTAACAGCCTAATGCGAGTGCTTTCAATCTACACCACCAATTCTCATCTCTGAATCCTCATCTCCTTCACCTGGACTGAAAAACAACTAGTTCTTGGATGTACTTTTTGAAGTGTATGTCTTATGTTAACGTTCCTTGAATTTAGATTAAATTATGTTTGATACCCTCTATTTTGTATCCTGTGTTGAATTAATATGCTTCTCCTATTAATAGAAATTTTTTCCTAGTTTATTATTTGATGCGGTTTATTAAGATAAACAAAAAAATAATATAAAATATAATGTCACTTAAGTTTAGCAAATGTCAATACAATTAACACTAAAACATACATAACAAGAGCATCTTGATAGATTTGACAGGTGTATAAACTGAAGAACGACATTAATTTATTCATCTCATTATGTTAAAAAAAGAACTAGAAGTTTATGCATGGGTGCTGCTTATTGAGTGCATTTTTGCATGGGTGAAGGTTTGGATTCTTTTGCTCAACTCCGGCCACAAGAAAGTACGCGGTGTGCCTGAAAAGGTAAGGTTGTTATGAATAATGTTTTATTGTCACTAATAGTCTTCCACAGAAGGATAGTTGTGGAAGAAAATATACCTAAAAAAGTTCATCAATTTGATCTTTGATTCATTATCTATATCTGAAGTAACATCCAATGCATCTTTCATGTGATGTAACCATCTCTCTGCAGCTTCATGAGTGACTGGAAAGGGTCCATGTCGAGCAATTAGAGCAGGATGCCCTGCCATGTATAGAATCAAAGATTTTGACTTTTAAGTTCCTTCCTTCGTCATTAGAAGAAGCTATTTATTGCATTTTAATTTATAAAATATCACTTTTTTAAAGGTAAAATTGCAAAAAGATATAAAATTAAAACAATTAACTAAAAAATAAGTTCTAAAATTTTACTTATCTTAAATATATTATTTCTTCTATAAAACATAATGAAAATTATGAGCTGGTTTTTTAATCATCCCCAAACAAACTACCCAAGAGCCATGATCGAAACAAAGAGAGGTATGGTATGAATAGAAAGTAATTCTAACCTCTTCTCTGAGAATAGAGAGGAGGGCCTCCCATTCTTTGGACGAGAAATTCATACTGATTTTGAATTGCGTTTTGTTTCTCTGAATTCGCAAATATTGAACGAAACCACTCTTCCTCATCATCATACACTCTGTTCAGTGTTCATTTTAAACTCCATTTCTCATGAATCATAAAAAAATTATATCACTTTTGAAAATCTCAGAAAAACTGAACGAGATAGACCTACCTGTTGTAGAAATTGGTAGAGAGGTTAACAAAGGTTTGAAGGCCCAGTTTCTCAAACAAATTTGTGTCGTCGATGGCGAAAGCATTGGCTGTCTCAACTCCACTCCATTCAGAGGCTTTCTCTTGCAGACTCTGCATCTCTTTCTCTCTCAATTGTGGGCTTTGCGTAGATTGCACGATCTTTGTGATTGTGCAAAGGAAAGAGGATATGTTTGGATCATTACACCATCATGTCATCATCGTCCACTCGTTGGTTGCGTGCACATAAAGTTGATGAAGAGCCATAGTCCCAATAATATAAAAAATAATTATTATTATCAAAAGACAAAAGAGGTAGATAAATAAAATGAAAAAAAAATGTTATGAAAATAACGTCATTCTTTAAAAAATTGTGTCATTTACAAATTTACTATGGATTGTGTCATTTGCAAACTATTCTGGCTGGACATTGCAATGTCATCAAGGTTCCCACTTGTTATTCGTTTAGGTGGGAGAAATTAAAAAGTAGAATAAAAAATTTAATTTACTTCCAAGACTATTTTCTTTTACCTTGATGATCTATATAATATTTATATATTTATTATCTCAGAGTATTTTCTTTCTGCAGATTATTAGGTTTACCTTTAGTTCTCATCATATATAAGCTTATAAGCATGAGCACATTAATAATATTGCTGCGATCGCCATGTGCCATGTACTTGTCGTGCATTTGTTTGGTGGTGAGGGTCGTGTTAATTAACTGCAGTAATGAATGAATTGGAAACAGTTACTCCGTCGCTTCTAACTAGCTAGCTTCAGTAAGTGGAAAATCACAATTTCGAAGTGAATCTATTTTTGTTTACTGTGAAAAAAAGTATTGAACAAAATGAACTTTTGAATTTTTGTGCATGTTAAATTAGTATTTGAAAACTTGTTTACATCTTTATCTTGCTATAACAAGCTTCTACATCATTCAGAATACATTTTAAAATGCAATTTTATTAAATTTTACATATGATATTATTTTATTTTGACACACATGTATTAGTAGGAATCTACTTTAAATAAATAGACTTCACTTGTGTTATTACAATAGAACCTTACCCACCTCTAGACCAACCCTTGAAGATGTTGTTTTAAATTAAATTGAGTATTAATGCTATTGACGACAATATAATGTTTTATACCTAAATGTTTAATAGGAGCAGCATCTTTCAAAGCCCTTCATGTGTTGAGCATTTAGCATTAAGAGCAATCAACAAATCACACTGACAGCAAGCCCCGGTTCATGAGTCTTGGCCTTTAATGGGGCTCCAATAATTCCAACAAGAATAATTATAGGTTCACATTCATTTTTTATTTTATGAATGTTTTTTTAGGTATATAATGAGAGAAGGGAAGAAAAAGATAAACAAAATGTAATTAATAGTTTGATAAAAAAGATAACTAGAAAAATAAATAATATAAGATAAAATGCACATGATTGTTCAAACAATTGAGTGATGGATCAGCCAAACCACCAAAGGAGTTCCTTCTCCTTAACTATTTATATTAGTTTATAATCACATAGTAATTTAGAAAAAATGTACTCAAGTGTAGTTATTTACACTTTCGTAAATATATATAATTATTTATACAAACCAGCCTCCCATTAAAAAATGTCTTCGATTTAGCATTTTGGCAAATTTACTGACAATTTGCTTTTACATTAAAAGTCAGACAATATTTATTTAGGGGAATATATACACACATGCACAAAGATATAAACATAAAAAAAAACTATATAATATTAAATACATTATCAGTTATTTAATATTTAAATTAAACTGTTCATGCATCTCTTAAGTTGTGTCTGTGTACCATGCGTCTATGCCTCTCGATTCAAATCACTTAAATTTTCAATGTTTTCTTTCTTCTTCTTTTTAGGAAAGTAATTAAAGTTTTGAGCTATATAAGCTTCTCGTGGTCAATTCAGTTAATCAACATCGTAATAAGATAATAAAAAATTATATCTTAATTGAGGTATAATGATATGAATAATATAATAAAAAAATGAGTAATAAAATTTTATTTTGAAAAATAAGCAAAAGTAAGGTTACTTTATTTTTTTTAATGGCCTAAAAAGAAGAAAAAAAAAGAGATAAATTTAAAGTACTAGTATAAATGAGTTGAGTTACTTGTCCAATTATTTAATTTTGATTCATTAAATATTTATCTGGACTTAATTGTTTAATTGAAAAAACCAGTTCAAACTTAAAATTAGGTTTAATTATTTAAATAAGTTAAATTTAAGCTTTATAAATTTTATATTAATAACTCGTAAGTGGTTCATATATATGAATATTTAAATTTGTAATTTTATTTATTATATTTACTTAAAAAATTTATATTTTTATTATTATCATTATCATGTGTGCATTATTTTTCTAATTTTAATTTTTAAGAGTTAAAGTACAAGTGATTATAATTTCTTTAAATTTTACTCGTTTAAGTAAATAAGTCAAATTTAAATAATATTTTCTTTCAAATCGTCCTAGAATTTAAGATAGTCAAGTCATTTGCACCTCTAATTTGAAGGATTGTAAAATAAAAAAAAGGCAAAATATGTAATTGGAAGCCATCAAACCAAGTTATGCCTTCGAGTTTGGATGCAATCAGTATCAGTATGCAGACTCAAAACAGGCAGCCAGTATGGTTTGCTATCCAAATTGGGTAAATTTTGTCCCCCTTAAACTTTTAATTGATTTTTGATCTAGCAACATAAATGCAGGCCAAAAACTAAAAACTAATAAAATGCAAGTTAAAAGGGTGAAAAAAGGATATATTTTTTTAAATATAACTTTCTCCAGAATAAAGAGATACCAGAGTAAATTCATATATTTTTAATTCAAAAGTTAATTCTATATAATAAATATTTAAATTTAAATCAATAATAAATTGGTGCTTATTTTATAATTATATATATTAATTATTTAGAGAAGCTAAATTGAAAAATATAATACTTGGATTCCATGGGTGTGCTATAAATGAGAGAGTATAATTATAGAATCCTCTCACATGCTTGATGCCCTAGTCGGATTAGATGAGGCACTGTGATAAATTAACATTCCTTTATTTCTTATGATTAAACTCAATTAATTCTGTTCAACCAAAATGCGATATCATCCCTACAAAAGAAAAATAATATATTATTCGTAAAAATTAATTAGTAGTGAGAGAGATTACAGTTTCATAAAGCTTTGTTTCCATGCAAAATTAACACTAACAAGAAAACCTATATATAAAGCATTCAGAACATCTCATAGAAGAGTAGCAACTAGTATTATAAAGCTTAACTAAAAATAACACTGCATCCACCGTTCTATTTTAAGAGAAACAGATCCAAAGTAAACAATATGAATGACTCTTGCCATACACGTGATCATACATAGTACCTACTGGCCGCCGCCGCCGCCACCGCCAAATCCTGCACCACCGCCACCACCAAAACCACCACTAGCTCCAAAGCCACCTCCTCCACCAAATCCACCACCTCCACCTCCTCCAACTCCACCTCCAACTCCTCCTCCACCGCCAAATCCACCACCTCCTCCAGCACCACCACCTCCACCAAGCCCACCACCACCACCACCTCCAATACCTCCACCAATGCCACCACCAACACCATGACCTAGTCCACCACCACCTCCTGCCCCTCCACCAATGCCGCCACCAACACCATGACCAAGCCCTGCACCACCTCCTATGCCACCACCACCTCCTGCCCCTCCACCAATGCCGCCACCAACACCATGACCAAGCCCTGCACCACCTCCAACGCCACCACCACCTCCTGCCCCTCCACCAATGCTGCCACCAACACCATGACCAAGCCCTGCACCACCTCCACCAGCTCTTCCACCTAAGCCGCCACCACCACCTAACCCTCCACCGCCACCTAACCCTCCACCGCCACCTAATCCACCACCTCCACCTAATCCACCACCGCCACCTAATCCACCACCGCCACCTAACCCGCCACCTCCACCTAATCCACCACCGCCACCTAACCCACCACCGCCACCTAGGCCTCCTTCTCCCCCTAAACCCCCACCAGCACCAATGCCAGCCCCAACACCGCCACCTAAACCACCTCCTCCTCCTAAACCTCCACCACCACCAAAGCCAAGCCCACCACGCTTAAACCCTTTCTTGATAATCCCAGGCCCTAACAAATGTGGTGGATGAAGCAAATGCTTGTCATCCTTAACTTTTGCTACCTCGGCCACTACCAAACCAGTGGCAAGTAGAATGCAGAACGCAAACAAAATGCCATTTGAAAGAAGTTTCATGGTAAAATTAGAAAAAAAACGTGGAAGAAGAAGATTGTGAAGCTGAATGTGTATTGGTGGAATGAAGGAGTGAGGTTTTATATACTGAAAGAGCAGCAAAAAAATAGTATAGGTCGAAGGTTCACTCAAATTACTCAACTGCCACCTTGAAGGAGTACATGAGGCTCAGCAGTCGTTGGCACAGTGATTTAATTGTTCAACTGTCCTCATCTGCAACGCGTTCTCAAAAGAAGTCACTGTTTCCCCATTACACAATACACTAGGGTTTTGACCACTTGGCTGGTCGTTCTTTCTTTCTTTCTTTATTCCATATTCACACCTTTTTAGTATCATCTGCTTCCTTTTTATTAGAAACTATATTAAGATGTATTAGAAATTTAAGAGATTCGCATATTGTTATATTTTTAATAAAAATTATTTTTAATTTCTAGGAATATTGATTGACGTTTTCCTCCCACAATTAAATATCTATCGTATAAGTATTTAAATTTTTTCCTATAATTTTAATTGTTGTAATTAATATTTATTTGTTTTAGGGTTAGCAAAACAATTTCTTTACTTTAAAATAAAAAAATATAATTAAGATTAAATATAAATATAAATTTATTCAAGTTTAAAACAATCAGGATAATTTATTGACTGTTCCCGATATCAAACTTGTTGTGTATTGGGGTTTATTGAGCTTCTGTGACCTTTATTAATGGCTTGCTCTGATAAACATTAATGCAGCAACCAAACAGCGTCCTGTCACCAGTAGTATAGTCCTCTCTGCGCAACTCTCTCCCCCTCGCTATCAGGTAATAAATACGTCCATAGCAACAACATATAGAAAAAGGTCAAGATTTGCATTATGACAATCAACTATCGAAGTTCCAGTCACATCAAATTGTAGCGGATTTAACGTTGGTAAGTGAATGTGCCAGGAAATTTTACTAAGTAACAGTGGGACTGTTCCCATGTTATCGATGTTTAGACTGGTCGCTGAGTTACTGGTTATTCAATTACATGCAATAACTGTCGGTTGCGTTTTTCTTATTTTCTCTTAATGAATCATCTCATTGTTACACTGTCACAGATTGTTTATTATGCGACATAGTTATAAATTATTCTATTTTGTATGTTCATAAATTTTTTAATTATTAAATATTTGTTCTATTTTAAATAAATATTTATACTTTAATTTAATCCATATTTTATAAAATAATAAAAATATTATATCAAAAAGAATTGTTAGAAGATAGTATTATGCCATATCAATTACTTTGATACAAGTAATTAATGCTTGTGTTCGCAATGGATGGGATCGAGACATTGATATCAACTCTGCGCGTGTGTTGTAGCTGAGGAAATACATCTGGCAAAGGACTGAAGTCATTTGTGCATGAGAACTCATCTGGATCACTCACAGCTCAGAGAGGGAATAATATTAAGGTCTGGTCAATACGCAGTTCTTCAGTAGTAGAATACTCTAGAATGATAATGAGGAAGAGATATTCTTATTGGGGAAAGATCGTTCGACGTCTCAAGGAATGTATACATCTTAATTTGAGAGATGAGGGACAGGAAAAAAAGAAAGAAAGAATAATTATAGGTTAATATCAGTGGGGGCAGAAAAGAGAGATAAGAAAAGAAAAAGTGAAGAGAATGACAGTTAAAAATATGATTGATGGTTGAATAAACAAGGAAAAGAGCTTTAAAGAAAATGAGAATGAAAGATAAATATAAAAAAAAGTGAGTGTAACGAAAAATATGCAACGACTTTTTGTTGTATCAATTATATATTTTCCAAGTATATTACTGAAAAATTATGTGTGTGTGTGTGTGTTAACGATGATAACTTCAAAATATTGTTGTCACTCATCGAGAAGTGTCCTTCATATCTTGAAAGTGGGAAATCCATCTATTATCTTTCTGTTTTTGTAGTATTGATTGTGAGGAGTCCTGTGCATGTCAAAAGCACGAGATGCATTAAATATTTTGAGAGTTTATTTCTTTTGCTGTTCAAACTTTTGTTCTGAAAACATATAAAAGAATAGTTTTTGAAAAAAACTTGCATATACAATATTTATATTATTTTAGTCATTTAATAAAGGACAACTCAGTAAGTTTATCAGTCAATTTTAATAAAATAATTTATTTTGTTAAAACAATTGTGGCAAATTATCATTCAAAACACAAATTGATTAATTAATTTCAATTATTTTTTTGCTTTCTTTATTCTTAAATTTTAATGCATAAATTAATTTACTTAATAATAAAGGTTAAAAAATAGAAAAAAAAAATATTAGTTTAAACTTTTTGTGGTTGTCACAATGTTTTTATATAATAATATTAAAATGTTTTTTTTTTTTGTCATAACCATGATCTTCGATCAACCCGTGTCTCCGCCCATCAAAATGATGCTAACGTCATATTTGTGAAAAGAAGACACAAATGGTAATGACCTTCGGTATATCGTAATTGGTTAGTTTTGGTTAATTTTAAGTATTTAAAAATATTTTTTAAATTGATTATATTTTTAATATGATAAGTTTTTTTTAATAAAAATTATAATTTTTAGTTGCTTAAAGTTAATTATAGATAAATAAAGTTAACGTTTTTTATAACTGAAACTAATAAAAAATTTAATTTCAACAAATTATACATATGTAAACATACAAACCTTTTTAAGTTATTGAATTGTTTTTTCAAGATACCTGTAAATTAGACCACTAGCCACTTGAAAACACAAAGTTTATATATTCCAACTTCTAAGAAAAGTAGTGGATAAAATTATTGAAAATCATTGGTATTAAAAAGATTAAAAAGAATTATTCTATTGAGATAACTTATACTTTATTTAACAATTTAAAGTCTAATCTTCTATTAATTTTAAATCTTAACCAGGTCTAAAAGTTGTTAATAATAAAAAGTAATAAATTTTTATTTCACATATTTACTATGAATTATTGTTTACTAATATTCTGCATTATTATTATCAATTTATTCATTCAAAATATTATATATTTTTATGAGTTTTAAAATATTGATAATTTGTTTCATATATTATCGTCACTCTAAAGAAGTTAAGTTTTGTTTGGAAATGCTATTTTTTTTATTGTAATTTCTATGATTATACTATTACTTAAATTGCTATCTCAACTCGACATAGAAATTTTATTTTTTATTTATTTATTTTTTAAACTTTAATATTAGAGAAATAGTATATACTATTTGATGAGATAAATAAAATATTTATTATGTTTTAAATTTTATTTCTCAGTTTAAGAATAATTATTTTTTATTAATTTTAAATAAGTTAAATATCAAACTCATTTCTTTTTAAAAGATATCATAAAATTTATCATCTTTTAAGTATTATAAAATTAATATAGATAATAGTTGTATAATGGATCACATTTGTAGGAGTGGTAGTATAGGATACTCTAATGACAATGACTAACAAAATTTTCTTATTTTGATAATAATTAATATATTTTTTGTGTTGAATTAAAAAGTAACTTTAGAGTCTTAACTTTGCTATATTAAAAAGTTATCTTAGGATTATTTGGGAATCCAATTATTTAAAAATAGTAAGTCTTATTATAAATTAATTTATCTTAAAGTGTGTTATATTCTGCAGAGTATTCATTATTTCGGGTAAAACTTTTTCATGCACTTATATTATGTTGTGAGGTTAACTTAGCTCATTTACTACTTATTTAAAGTTTTTTTATTCTTTAGATGATAATCCAAATTTAGTTTTTAATAATTTACATATTTTGTAGTTTATTTTTATATAATTTGTTCTCTTTGTCAAAAAAGATAAATTTTGATAGATTTAATTTAGTTACTTTTTAATATATTCAAAATATTTTTTAATTATAACATAAGCAAGGTAATGATGTATATTTAATTTTTATAATTAAATATATATTTATAAATTAATTTTTATATTTTAAAAAGTAACATTTAAAGAGTTGTATAAACAAAATGACGTTGGAATAAACTGGATAGAAAAAAAGAAGAGTTGTATAAACATCTTGTTAAATTTTAATTCGTATTGTTAGAAAATTTTCCGTAAAAAATATCATTCTCCAAATTATTTTTGAAAGACTACATTGGTGGGTTTTTAAATAACACATGCAAGTATAATAAAGCACTTGTGTAATAATTAAAATATAATTTTTTAAATATAAAAATTATTTTATAAACAAATATTTACACTTATATATTTTAATCTATAACTATTTATAATTGTGTGAAACTATTTTTTTTTTGTACGTACGATGTACATACCATAAAAAGACCTAATAACTAACAAAGTACATATTAAGTACAGTTATACTGTATTAGAACTCCCTAAAAGAAAACAGCAATAATAGAATAACATGGGACGCTGTCGTTTCGGTTCCCAGGCAAGCACCGACTACAGCACAAAATTAGGGAAAGAAAGCATAATAATAATAATAATAATAAATAAAAAAAAACTGAACCCTAACGCTTTTCGTTTTGCATTCGCACCTCAAACGGGATTCCTCCGTTTCTCTGCAATTCAATTCTCTCCCTTTCCACAGCACCAATTTTCAGAGCTTAAATCAAAGAGATTTTAACCTTCCGTTTCTTAAGAAAATTTTCCGTCGCAGATATGCGCGGGACTGAGGTTGCTTGTTGATACCTCGAATTAAATCACATGGAAAGAGAGCGAACCCGGAAACGGCGTCGTCTTGCGTGGGACGTAGCTCCTCCACCAGTGCCTGAGGTTCTTTCTGTTTCTCAAATTACGTTAGGATTTCTTTCTTCATTTTTTTATGTCTTTTTTCTCAACTTGTTTCATCTATTATTGTAGGCGCAAAGGGCTCTGGTGGTGGCAGGTGATGATGGAATCGAAAGAAAGCATGTTTCACCTCCAAGAAGGGATGACGATCGCGATGGCCATTATGTCTTTATTCTCGGCGAAAATCTCACTCCTAGATGTAACTTCGTTGCCTCTATCTTAGGGTTTTCTTCCATTATGTCTTTCTTTATTTTGGTCTTACGGAATATTTTAATTGCAGCCTTGTGCATTGTTCTGTTCATGTCTCCCATACACATGCACACATTGTTCTCTGTTGTTCTGGGTGTTTCGTTTACCTATACTGTTCTATTTTTCCTCCCACTAGCTATATAGATCTGTTGAAGGTCTCTTTTATTTTTGTTTTGTTTGCTAGTTTATAAGTTGCCTATAATGCTCTGATTTTTCTAATATTTCTGAATTTGCCAATGCATGAGGTCATTCATTCCCAATTTGATGAAAAAAGCCCTTTTGTACAGAAGCTATTCTGTCATGACTCGTTTAAGTGTTGTTTGTTGGATGTCTTTTCCTTTTTCTCTTCTGTTATGTTTAAGCTGTGGTTTTTTAATATTTTCTTATGTAAGTATTTTCTCATGTTTTGACAGATAAAATCCTCAGCAAGATGGGTGAAGGTTAGCGGTCAAGTGCCTTCTGAATACAAGATTTTAATTTTTATGTCACTGTGCTTGTGTCATTCAGCATATTGCTAGTGCTGTAGGCACATTTGGTCGAGTTTTGGAATGTTGGGACCGCCAAACAAGAGAATATGTGGCTATCAAGGTAGTTAGAAGCATACGGAAGTATCGTGATGCAGCAATGCTTGAGGTTGACGTGCTTCAACATCTAGCAAAGAATGATAGAGGAAGCTCACGGTACATTTATAGAGTAACATTGCTGCTTGAATTTTGTTACTGCTTCTTATTTTGAGGGATTAATAATATTTATTCCATTACAATTATTATTTGCAGGTGTGTGCAGATCCGAAATTGGTTTGATTACCGAAATCACATCTGCATTGTAAGTGTGCTTAGTTATTTCTTTCAGCAATATATTTCCTTGATTTTATCATATTGAAGAAGTTTATTTTGAGAATATTTTGCACTGAGTTGGAGATGCTTTTTACTACTTTTGGAGGGCAGGATGGGGTTAATTTTGCATTGTTATGGAAATGGATGGGATGACTGAAAATTTGAATAAATTTTGGTGTAGAGTTTTCTCCATTGTTATATGCACGTCTTTATGATCTGTTATGCTCCTTTCTCTTTTGGAAGGATAGGTGATTAATCCTGATTCATGTTGCGAATGTGAGTGAATGAGTTGTTAAGTTAAACTATAGTGGATTGTTTTTATATATGTCCATGTGGACTTTATTCATAGATTTGGGAACTAAGCAGAAACATTCCTTTCAATGCATTTTAATGGTGTTCAGGTCTTTGAGAAGCTTGGACCAAGCTTATTTGATTTTCTAAAGAGAAATAAATACTGCCCATTCCCTGTGGATCTTGTTCGGGAATTTGGACGACAGCTTTTGGAATCTGTAGCATGTCTGTGGATTATTCTTGGCCTTCAGTTTATTTCTGATGTTCTATTCTTAAATCTTTTGATTAAAATCAAACCACATCTTTTTCCTTGGCCTACTTTCTTTGCCCAGGGATGCAGTGTATCTTGGTTGTGTCTGCTCACTTTTAACTTGTTTCTTGTGCTTTATAATGTTCAGATATGCATGAACTACGCCTAATCCACACTGACCTGAAGCCAGAAAATATACTTCTTGTTTCTTCTGAATATGTAAAGCTTCCTAGCTGTAAGGTATTCAGCATTTTGGATCTAAACATAATGATGTTTGTAGTCTCAGTTGTAATATTTAAGGAAAATGATTGGATTGGTACAGAGGGTTTCCTCAGATGAGACACAGTTCAGGTGCTTGCCCAAGTCTAGTGCTATTAAGCTGATTGATTTTGGTAGTACTGCATTTGATAATCAGAACCATAGCTCCATTGTTTCTACAAGGCATTACAGAGCCCCTGAGATAATTCTAGGTAACTAAATATGGTTTTGACTGTCGAGAATATTTCCTCGTATTTATTTTGTCCTGTGTGTAAATGTGTAATATAGTAAATATGTGATGTTTGGGGTTGAAAATTTATGGATGATGACAAGGAAAAGTATTTTGACCGTCTGAAAATACTATTGGTAGCTTCCATCACACTCTAATTAAATCTCAAGGATTATGGATTACTTTCATGTTTGCTTATAACTTGTGTTATCCTGAATTTTTGCTGTTCACTGTAATATCACTGTTCTGAACTCTCTGTGCTGTAATGAGTGCCTTTTTGTTCTTATTTATTTGTTTTCCCCCTCATAATGGATGTCTTAATTATTTTCTTCTCTCAAACACTATTTCTTTGGTGTCTCCCTTGTCCCATCATTTTTCTACCTCTTATGGAAGGAGACTTATCATTATGGCTCTTTTCTAATGTTTATGTTATGAGGGAAGAAAAAAAAAATATAGGAGCCAAGTCTGTGTCATGTCGATGTGATGCCATTTAAGAGACTACATTATTGTTGTTATTTACTTGAGTTTTGTTTGACTAAATGAAATTATCAAGTCCAGTCGATAGCATATAATGTGTACTTGTTAATGTATTCTCACTTGCATCTTAAATGATAATTGCAGGTCTAGGATGGTCATACCCATGTGACTTATGGAGTGTTGGATGTATTCTCATTGAACTTTGCTCGGTTAGTATTTGGTTTATCAAGATATATTAGATCTGGTTTAAAGCTGGAACTAATAGTCTTAAGTGTTTTAAATGTGGAACTTTTGTCAGGGTGAAGCCTTGTTTCAGACTCATGAAAACTTGGAGCACCTTGCAATGATGGAGAGAGTTTTGGGACCTCTTCCGGAGCACATGGTTCGAAGGTCCAAGTAAGTAGTGAATTATAGAACATTCTCTAAATTTCCCTCTCTAAATTGGAATGAGATACATCCAGAGTGAGTCTTTCAAGTTATGAATCGACCACTGGGAAAAGACAAAAGCTAATTAACATAATTGAGTGTTCTGAATTTCTGTAGTAACATCTTTTTTGTCCATTTGATTGACAATATGCAGCAAGGGCGCAGACAAGTATTTCAAGCGTGGATCACGACTAAGATGGCCCGAAGGAGCTGTTTCAAGGGAGAGTATCAATGCAGTGAAGAAGCTTGGTCATCTTAAGGTTTGTTGTGTTTCGTCCTTTCCCGTCAGTAATTACTGGGCTGCAAAATCTTAAATCAATCGGAGCTCTTAGTATCTATTTATTTGTTTTTGTAATTGTGATGATCAATGATTATTCCTGATGCAGGATATTGTATCACGACATGTGGAGTCCTCAAGGTCCTCTTTCACTGACTTGTTAGATGGCTTATTAACATATGATCCGACCAAACGTCTAACAGCTCACCAAGCCCTTGATCACCCCTTCTTTAGGAATCCAACTTAAGAAGCCAGATTGCCCTTCTGGAATAATTCCCATTTTAAATAGTCAGTTGCACAGGCTATAACTTTGTTTTAAATGTATGTAATCTATTATTATTTATTTATAGCAGTCGTTCAATCGCCTTGAAAATATATTTTAATTTTATCATTCTTTGTTTTTGTTTTGTTCATTTTTTTAATCCATGGATTTGATCTCGTCTGTTATTATATCTTTAAACACGGTGGCGAATAATTAAATTGAGTGTGGCCCCGATCACTCGGGTGCCAATGTGTTATGAGGTTCTCTTGGACAGGGATGATTAACGTTTAAATTGGAAAATTTCCCTGCATATTGTTCTTTTGTTCATTGGTTGTGATTAGCATTCTAGTGGCACGCATAAATTTTAATTGAAATATTTAATAATAAATGTAACATTAGTTTAATTAATATAAGAAGTCATTTGGTTATATTTAATTTATTTGATGCTAGTAAATAAAAAAATATTTTATCAATAAAATCAATTTTTTGATATTTTATAAACTTGTATTCTTTTCCATTTTACCTATACAGATATTCATGGTTACGGTTAGAAAAAAAAATAGGGCACAAAAACGTTGTTTGGTTATAACTAATTCCAATAAGGTTAGTGCTAGACCTTGGTTCAAGAAATCAAACTAGGGTAATATGAAACCTTTCAGGCGAGCGAGTTACCAGTAATCTCCACATGAACACAAACCGTTCTCAAATTTATGAAACCTATTTGCATCTCTCACCACAAATACAATCTTCAAAACCTTGGACAAACCCTTGATGAATGCATGGCAATCCCCACAAACCCTCAAGTTCTTGAAAATCCTAATCATCCTTTCTCCTTTTAGCCCACTTCGAACCAAAACCAATCCAATAGCCAACTTCTCGCTATGAACCCGCAAACTCTCCACCTTTGACTCCTCTTCAACATCATGCAATGCAAATTTCACGTTATGAACATGGCCTATTTCTTCCTGCACCCTCTTCTCCATTTCTTTCAACACTTGATGAATCTTCTCTATAAGTGGATGCATGCCATCCCCATTGTAGAAAATGTGGATTTCCTTGTCTATCTCTACCCAACTACGTCCTGCTTCTTTCTTCAATCCCTTTCTCTTCACGTAACCTCTTATTTGCTCACTCTCTTTCCAATACCCTGCATCGGCATAGATGTTTGACATCATGACATAGTTGGCTGGATTGTTACCATCCAATCTCAAAAGTATCTCTCCCACATGCTTCCCCATCTCCACATCTCCATGCATTCTACAAACACTAAGTAATGTCTGCCATATGCCCACACTTGGCTTCAAGGGCATTTTCTGAATGAGATCCTTTGCTTCCTTTAAGCGCCCGGCTCGTCCAAGGAGATCAACCATGCAAGCATAATGCTCTACTTGTGGTTTGCACTGATGATTGTTACACAAACTAGAGAAGTATTTTTGACCTTCTTTGATGAGTCCAGAATGGCTGCAAGCTGAGAGCACAGCTAAGTAACTCACACTGTCAGGTTTAATTCCATTCACTTGCATTTCGTTGAAAAGTTCAACTGCTTTATTACCAATACCATGTTTTCCATAGCCCGTGATCATAACTGTCCATGAGATCAAGTTTGTCGCTGGCATCTCTCTGAAAAGTGCATCTGCTTTATCTGTTAATCCGCATTTCATGTACATATCCAGAACTGAATTAGCCACTGACATTTCTAAACCGTACGGGACTTTTATGGTATAAGCATGCATTTGCTTCCCCTGCTCTACAAAGGCAAAATCAGCAAACACACCTATGAGACTCGAGAGTACACACTCATCCACTTCATTTCTGCTCTCTCTCAACTGCTTAAACAAGTGCATGGCTTCTGGCAACTTGTCTTCTTGTGCATAACCAAGAATTAGTGTGGTCCAAGACATCACACTCTTCTGTTCAGTTCGATCAAACACCCTCCTAGCTTCAGTTATGCGCCTGCATTTGACATACAGATCAAGCAAAGCACTTGCAACCACTGATTGAGCCAAGTAAGGAAATCCACTTCTAATTAAAGCAGCATGAATTTGCATTCCTTCTCCTATTGCACCAACACAAGTACACGCCTTCAACGTGCTTGAATATGTATACCCATCAGGAACTTCCCCCTTCTCTTGCATTTTACTAAACAGATTCAAAGCCTCTTCACCATTTCTTCCATTGGTGTATCCAGCAATCATTGCATTCCAACTTATAACATTTCTAACTGGCAAAGTGGTAAACACTCGCGCTGCCTCACTAACCCTACCACACTTCGAGTACATGTCAATTATAGAATTGCCAACGACGGATACCCAGTCAAAATTAGATTTTGCACAAAGCCCATGAATCTGCATTCCATTCTCAGGAATTCCCAAAACCCCCGATGCCTTTAGACTGGTGGACAGTGTGAACTCATTAGGCTTAACATCTGAGCGACCCATTTTAGAGAACAAGAGTAAAGAAGTTTTGGCATCACCATTTTGCAAATACCCACACATAAGAGCCGTCCAAGACACTACACTTCTCTGAGGCATTCGATCAAACACGTAACAAGCGAGGTCCACAGTGCCACACTTTGCATACATATCTATAAGATCATTGTTTAAAACCAAATCATGCCCAAACCCTAGTTTCTCCACAACCCCATGCACTTGCTTTCCCTGATCAAGCAAACGATGCTTCGAACACTTGTTCAGGATCTCATTGATTAGCCTACGCACGTTCATCGATGATGGGTGTTAGAGAACTCGAGAACCGTTTCGTCACAACCTTGAAGAACTGCGTGAAAATAACGGAACTGAAAAAGATTCATTGCCACATCGTGAAGCTCTCACTGTCACAAAGCAACTTTTTGGCTACCAAGATGGTGGATTTATGCGACAACTTGGGCCACGTAGGTTATGCGACCTTGTTGTTCCAACAACTAGTTGACCCGAACGTGTTTGCTTACAACGCGATAATCAGAACCTACACCCATAACCACAAGCATTCCCTAGCAATCACTCTGTTCATCCAAATGCTTAGAAATCCAACGAAATCAGCTTTTCCAGACAGATTCACGTTCCCGTTTGTGATAAAATCGTGTTCGGGTCTTCTGTGTAATTGTTTTGGGCAGCAAGTTCATGCTCTAGTTTGCAAATTTGGGCGAAAATCGCATGCAATAACTGAGAATGCACTAATTGATATGTATACAAAATGTGGTGTTTTGAGCAATGCATACAAAGTCTTTGAGCAAATGACTGAGAGAGACGCAGTTTCTTGGAATAGTTTAATGTTTGGGTACGTGCAATTGGGGCAGATGAAGAGTGCAAGGGCACTGTTTGATAAAATGCCTTCTAGGACTATCGTTTCTTGGACTAATATGATAAGTGGGTATGCTAGAACTGGGTGTTATGTTGATGCATTGGACATTTTTCGTGAGATGCAAATGGTGGGTGTTGAACCCGATGAGATCAGTGTTATGTCTGTTTTGCCAGCGTGTGCACAGCTTGGGGCTCTTAAGATGGGAAAATGGATTCACATGTATTCGGATAAAAATGGGTTTATGAAGAAGACTGGTATATGTAATGCACTGGTTGAAATGTATGCCAAGTGTGGTTGCATCGATGAAGCTTTGCGCTTGTTTGATCGGTTGGTTGAGAAGGATGTGATTTCATGGAGTACCATGATTGGAGGACTGGCAAATCATGGAAAAGGTTATGAAGCAATTCAACTCTTTCAAGTCATGCAGAGAGTAGGAGTCGCTCCTAATGGGATAACCTTTCTTGGTGTTTTGTCAGCTTGTGCTCATACAGGGTTATGGAATGAGGGATTGAAGTATTTTGATGTGATGAGGCTGGATTATCATATAGAGCCACAGATTGAGCACTATGGTTGCCTAGTTGATCTTCTAGGACGGTTGGGACGCCTTGATCAGGCTCTTGAAACAATACTGAAGATGCCACTAAAACCAGATTCGAGGATATGGAACTCTTTGCTGAGCTCTTGCAGGATTCATCGTAATCTTGAGGTTGCTATCGTTGCAATGGAACAGCTTTCGGAGCTTGAGCCTGAGGAATCTGGGAACTATGTCTTGCTTGCTAACATATATGCAGAACTTGGCAAGTGGGAAGGTGTATCAAATATTAGGAAACTCATAAGAAGCAAGAGGATAAAGAAAACCCCCGGTAGTAGCTTGATTGAGGTTGACAACGTTGTTCAAGAATTTGTATCAGGTGACGATTCAAAGGCGTTCTCGCAAAATGTCTTTAGGATACTAGAAGGTTTGGCTTTACACCAAAGTAGAACCAATGACTTGATAGAATTTGTCGACGAAGATGCAGGTCAAGTTTATAGTTAAATTATTTAGTTCGACACTCGATTTTTTTTTCCCTTCCGTTTTAATGTTGAGTTTGCATAACTAAAACTAATTTTGCCTTAGCCAGAGAATTTCATATGAAAGAACCGAAACTGTCACCAGTGATAAATCAAATGGTTGACTCTCCATGACAGTTTTGCTTTCAGAATCCAATAGGTTCAGGTAAACATGAAAATAAGCACATACATAGCAAATAAAAGATGACGAAGGCCCTAAGATCCTTGTGAATCTAACTGTTTACCAGTATAAGTAGGTAGATCAATTCAACGCCAAGTATGTAGAAAACGTTTTTAAATTAGAATGCAGCATATTGGATTAGGCAACCAAAGTCTAAGATGTTTGATCGGACGGCACAATGCGTCTGTATATGGCTTGGAAAGTTTGTCCCCCATTTCTAGCAACCTTTTGCCCTTCTTCAGTAGCAGAACTTAAAAGCTTCACAACTGGATCTGCTTGAAGTTCTTTCTCAGTGAGGGCTTCAAACATAGGGTGATTCTCCAGACAAGACTTCATCCAGTCCCCAAGCTCTTCTACGTCGGTTATTGTGTATATAATTCCACCAACCTCAAGAACATAAGCATACTCATCCAGCAAGAATGGACTGATTACCCGGCGGCGATGATTCTTCTCTTTAAAATGAGGATCAGGAAACAAGAAGAACATCTTTGAGAGTTGTCCTTTCTCAAAGTAATTGGGAATGTACTTCATAGAGTTGGTCCGCACCACAGAAACATTTTGGTATTGACCTGGATTCGCAACCCTTAAAGATACAATTCGTTCCTTGACATACTCAGTCACTTTATCTCTAAGTTCCATTCCAATCATCAATGTTTCTGGGAACAGAGTGGAAAGACTGATGAGCAGCCCTCCAAAACCACAGCCAATATCAGCAAACTGTATCTTTTTGGAACTATCCGCTTGACCAGATGGAGGAAATAGCTGTGGATAATGGAGGGAATAATCGACATGACTGGGTGATATGGGCACAGGGAAGTGAGAATCACTCAGTGGATTGCTGTGCGCTCGTGCTCGATAGAAGCGCTTTCGGGGTAATCCTGTTGACTTGCTGATAGTTGGATTTACCCGAGTCTCAGACATGTCTATTTATTCAAACTGCAGTACAGTAAAAACCAAAATCTTCAGAATCAAGATATACTGACGATCGATAAAGAAACACTTTTTTTTTTAGTACAATACTAAGCAGAGATATAGGACCAAAAACTTGTGAGTAAATATCAAGGTTCCATTAATTTCATGCCGTTGATTTTTAATCAGAAATCCTGATGTATATACGTTGCAAATCAACAATAAACCGATGATTCAGACATGAAACATCAAGAAGATTGAAATTGATAAACTAGTTTCGTCCAACCTACTACTCTGAGAACGAGAATTGAATCTTGTAAGTTTGTGTTGCAGGAAATATAGCGAGTAGGTGGTGTGCATGCCAATTTGGATAACATTCCACAAAGGGAATCGTCGCAAAACAAACCTAAAGTTCACCCTATATCAAACTCGAACGAAGAAAAAATGGAACAGTATGCGATTGACTACGGAGAATTATCGATCGCAATCACAAAAAACATTAAAATCTTTTTTTTGAAGTGAGAGACAGAAAAGAAGAAGAAGAAGATGTTTGGGATTAAATAGGTTACCTAACAGAGAATTTGGGAGAAAATAATTGGATTATTCGAAACTGATACAGAATGCAGTGACTTTGGTGAGCTTCTGGAGGTGGCGGTTTTAGCAGCAACAAAACGAAGGTGATGAAACTGAAACTGATACTGAAACAGAAACAGGCTTTCAATTGAAGCAGAGGTGAAGGAGGGAACAATGTTTGGGCTACTAATGTTGGGCCTGCATTCCCTCTCGGCCCAATGTATTAGGCCTGATTGAGACTGTGCACTTTTTTTGAACTGGTTAAACCTAATTGGTTTTAAGTGAACTTCAATCGTATAATTATAATTTTTGTAAATAAAGTTTGGGATCTTTTATTTAAAAAAAAACTCTTATTGAAAATGTTAAATCTACCATGGTGTATAAATATGTTTTTAGGTTAATAAGATTCTCTTTTGTAAAAATTTCATGTACTTCTGGAAAAAATTGGCAATTTATTTTTTCATAAATATTTCTTGCATGTATAAAATTAATTAAAATTGAAATAAAACTTGGAAGAAAAAAAGCTTGAAAATTCTGTGCTAAAGTTGGATTCTCTTCAAAAGGTGTCCTGCTATGTAATTAAGATGCAATTAGGAATACTTGTCTTGTTTATCCCAATTTACGCAGATGTAATTAAGATGCAATAGCATGTATTATTGTAAAATTTCGTTGGGCTTAATCCTTCACTCTCGTTTGTTCCCTATATTCAGTGCCTCTAGTCTCTACGAGATATTGAAGTACAAAGGTTTTTCTACCCACAGCCAGAAGTGCATAGGGGAAAGGGTTTGATATATTTTCCAACTTAACATATCTGTTCATACTTTTTTTTTTTAAATGTTAAGCTCACCTATAATTAAGCAACTGATAATAGCTAAATTTTATTAAAAGAAAAAGTATTTATTATATTTTATAACTTTAAGACAATAACTATGTAATCTTTTTCATAAAAAATTACTATTTATGAATACACTTAAAACAAATTCCTTTTTTTACAAGAAAAACGGCGCACCAAAAGATTAATTAACACAAGATTCTACAGGAAAATTAATCCAGTGGTATTAAGGGTTGGCTTCTTTGATGCAAAGGGTTATCTAAATTTGGATCCTTTCGTATTGATTGATAATATACCATAATTATGCTAAAGATTTACAAATAATCAAACTAAGTTTTTATTTGATAAAATTTATGTCATTTTCTTTTTAATATAGTTTATCATGTATATGATTTAACAAGGTGATGGAAATCAAATTCGTGTTATTTTATCATGATCAGTCGAATAGGAAACTTGGACTTTAATTGCAGTTTTTAGTAAAAGTTTTCTGCTTCTGTATGCATTCCTCTTGGGTAATATATGAACATCTTTCTGTCCAAACAACTACCCTTTTGAATATATTGTATCCTCTTTGGAAACCAAAATTTATCAGCTGCGTCAATGTATCCTTATTTTACTTTTCCTGCATTCTATAACTATTTCAACAACTTCAATTATGTATTTCTGTTTAATGCATTAAACGAAACGAAAGGTAGCTTGAGGCTTATGTTAATTATGAAAGGACTAATTGGTAAGTTGCAGTTTTTATATTTATTATTTAATTTTGAAGTGCTTGACAAGTAAGATTACATGCATAACCTGTCACACATTAGAGCTAGGGATGTTCTTTACTTCTTCGCCTCTTCCTCTTTCATGACAAATGCACGTCAACCACTTCACCATTAGCATTGACAAAGTCGCAGCAAGCTCTACATAATTAAGCTAAATTAAGACGATCTCGATCGAAAAAAAAGTAGTATGAGATGTACTTATTATTGTGGAGCATAGACTTATATACATATCCCATTCCACAAATGATATTTGTTGTTGTGGAGCAAACCCATGATTGAGTGACTGCATATATAAAAATAGAGATGCACCTAGAAGTTAATAATAATCTCACTTATTTCAATGACGATTCAGGCAAAATAAAATACTTATCTGATATTTTTCTGTTCTATCTGAGGTTTGAACCAATCGATGGGGAAAATTTTATTTGTTTTTAGACAACAATATCACTCATCAAATATGGTAACCCAATTGATGGTGGAGCCAATCGGAGCTGGGCACAGCTCCTCAATCTCAAAACAGTACTTTTTCATTTTATTAATTTTTTTATATAATTTTAATTTTTACCCTAAAAATAAAAAAATTGCAATAAAATTATGTGAGATTTACTGATGCTTGTTGTTTTATGTGACAAAAAAGTTGATTTGTTTTAAATAAGATCTAAAATTTGTGTCCTGAAAATAAGTGTTGAAAGAGCTTTCATTTGTCCTCTTAAATGAATTTTTTAACTCGATTTAATTCAGTTAAAATTAATATTTTCACTATACTAAAAAAATAAAAAATATTTTTATGTTTTTAATCTTAAAATATCTAAGGTATAAATATGTTTATCTTGGTAATCTTAAATTATTTAAGAGTATGTTTAAAATCTATTAAAAAATGTGTTAACGTAAAAAATATAACTAATAGTATTAAAGTAAATATAAATTTATATTTATTTAAACGTAAAATCAAACACGCACTAAATACACAAAAAGTGGCCAAAATAATTTATAAAGCAACCATGTCAACAGGTCATTAAAATAATTAATTGTTTAGACTTTTTGGTAAAAATCTAATTAAAAGAAAGATAAAAGGAGAAAAATTTATAATAATCTTTATACAGTATCTAAATTAAATTTTTAAATATGTATATAATAATAATAATAATATAACATTGGTGTCAATATTTTATTGATATGAATAATCTAACCTTATAATTTTAATCCTCTGTCTCTCTCTCTCTCTCTATATATATATTACAATTTTGTGTCTAAATCACAATAAACATTTACCACAAAATAACATAAGAATTTTCGCTTTTGTGACCTAATTCTTGTAATGTCCAATTACAAGATTACAAAGTAGCCAAAACATTGTCTGTGTGTGTGACGATTCTAACAAGATCATATCGATCAAAAAGTCATAAATTAACTTACAGAAGTAATATGAATAAACTCAACTTAAGGGATAAAGAACTTTTTATGCTGTTTTTGCGGTACACCGTGCTTATGGTGTAAAAGAAGTATTAACAGCTCAGTTTTAAAAGAATGATAACTCCAAATTAATTTAGTAACCTTATATTAAACTCTTGTAACACCGACACAATGTGGAACAAATGGACAAAGAGTACAAGACAAGGGCCAATGTTAGATATGGAAATTGTTTGATAGTGCCGACATAAAACCGTAATTATCTAGCACTCTCATTAGAGTAGAGTATATTTAAAGCTTAAAATTTTGATACGCCGGTCTGTTACTTAATTAGCTAAAGCAGACACTGTTGATTTTATTTTATATTTGTCAAAATAATATGTATGCATATCAGCTTAAGTGATGAACGAGTAGGCTACACTTGATTGGTTATCCGTTATCGTTTGTTAACATCGTTTTTGTCTCTATCTTTACTTCTATAATCTTGATACAGTGATATAAGTATATCATCTGCTTCTGTCATGATTAATCAATGTTGACGAAAGCAACAACATAATAATCAGAAGTAGTACATTCATGGGAATAGCGATATAAACCAGTATATATATTCATTTAACAAGAAATATTTTAGGTTTTTGTTTTGGTTTGCAGATCCTAAATCTTGATCAGTTTCATTAAATTGACTGTACATAAAGTAATTGTATTCCATGATGTCTTATTGAGATCCAACTTGCAACAATCTTTTGCAGAAAAAGATACACCCGAAAAGCTGACAAGTTAACGTACATTTCATGTATGAGAAATTTTGTCCATTATGAGCAAGATTTATTAATTATTTTTTAAATGAATTCAATTGCATATATTCTGATGACATGTTCTCTGATGATAGAGCTAGTATCGTGAATGGTACCTGTGAATATCATGTTAACTAGTAGCCGGTTCTTCCGCCATTTTGCGGCAGCACTAAGCATCTTAAAAGAAAAAGTTAACTTTTTGATTGGTTCTATTTATTATGTGTCGAGTTCCTATATGAACTATAAATATAGTTAAAGTAGAGAAACAATCGTGATCATACGAGCTAGTTTTTAGAATTAAGTTAGAGTCTAACTCAAATTCAATAACATGGGCCGGATATTCGTGTGGAAATATAGTCTATACTAACACATGCTTTTATATGATGATGGCTATCAAATTGTCATAGCATTAATTCTTTCGTTGCTCCCAAAATAAACTTGTTATACTATACCTGTCTGCACTCTTGAAGCAACCTCACGATCAATTTATCTTCTGGGTTAGCAATTTCCATGTTTGATTAGGATGTGATTCTATCACACATAAAGATTACCAAGGTGGTCCATATCCGGAACTTGATGGAGAATAATGATGATTGAGACGCTTAAAATTTGATTAGTTGAAGACTTGAAGTGTCGGATAAAGAATGCAATAATGCATTGTGATGATCAATAAAACGACGCATTTGTGTCAGCTATTGTTTTCATTTTTATTAGTTTACATCATAACTAACCTACCGTTGACAAAAATAATCAGATTAAAAGGCTGCACAATACAATCAGTATACTGACGAAATTAACCTACACCGCAAGTTTGGTTCGCACATACACGTATTTTAATTGTTACAGGTGTCTCTTGCATATATGAATGAAAACATGTTAGAATTCTAGCTATATCGTTTGCTTGGATTAGACGGTAATACTTATGATCACTATCCCACCTACACAAAATCTAGCATTTATGCTCGTCTGAATAAAGGTTATGGCATGTTCATTTCAGATAATTTATGACAGCATAGCAGAAAGAGTACAACTTGCATTAAGATTATGTATGTGATATATAAGTCTGATGGAAGAGATATTCCACGCCTTCTTAGATGTGGATATGCCTCCTAGTCGTAGATAACCCTATCCAATAGAGTTAGCATTTACATATACATAGTGTTTTTCTTTTTACTTAAAATGAAGAGGCATGTTAACGCAAGCTAAGCCTTAATTAAAGATCATATATATTTTTACTTGAAGCGTGTTGATCATTCATTTTTCTGTGTAAAGCATTACTTTGGGTTTATGCCACATCAATTGACTATACATTTTTATTATACGGTTAGT